AGATGTAAAGAAATAGAAGTTTTTATGATTCAAATTAAACATAGGTCAGTAATAAAAGGTCAATTTGATTCCGAGGGACAATTTTCTTGTCAAATAAGAATAAAAGCAGGTTTAGAAAGTCTTACCTTGTCCAATTTTCTTAAGTACAGTGATGTCTACAGGATCTTCATGCTCAATTCAGCTTTTCCTATTCTAAGCCAAACCTTGAGCTTTGATAAATCCACAGTTCTCTTATTTCTATGCAGGTCTTACAGGGAATAAAATCATAGAATGGATGAAATTGCAATTTATGTTGTTGATTTTTAAAAAATGAGTTTTCACATCAGTGGATTTTTTTCCCAGGTCTTCATGTTTCTCAGTTTATGACTTGCTCTTAAAATTAAAATAGACTACTGCAAATTTCAAAAGCATTGTGAGAATATGAGAATTGTGTGAATTAATAGTGTTCTGATAATATTCAGGACCAGCAGTAGCTCGTGGCCTTTTAAGACTAATTCTTGTCAAAATTGTAAATCATCAAACCCCGAAGATTTACACTCGGACAATATTCACAATCACAAGAGCTAGAGCCAATTTCACTTACAATGGTAATCCAAATAATGCTGAATATTCAACGAGTTCTTAAAAATAATTAACTAAATAAACAGGGAAACTGAGACCAAATAAAATGGACACATTATCACCTAGCAAATTTATTTTACCTTGAACTCAAATAAACCAAAATCAGAACAAAATGTCTCACACAGACAAATCTTAAAACACCCCCTCACAAAAATAGAACCAATTGTGTGGTTTTTAAGTTAAATAACCACAAAAATAGATGAAACTCTGCATTTTCATGATAGATACAAGTGTATCATCTATCGTAGAAAATGGGTTATTAAACTTGCTAGACACATAACAGAAGTTGCAGAAATTAATGAAGAGATGATGTAACACAAAAAAATCCACAGACAATAAAACTGAGTTAATGATATGGAACTTCATCCGCCCCCCAACTAGCAAAGATCAAAACAGGCAGTAACAACACGGTGAGAGGTTGTGTTAGTCTCTACAATAGATAACATAAGGCAACAGGCCAGAACAGGTCAGTCAAAGAAAAATGATGGTTTGTGAAATAAGTTTAATCTCTTCTCAAGTCAATTCAATTATGAACTTATTTTGAAAAGCAATGGCGTAAATTACAGCTGAATTGACACCTAAAAAATCAAATTATCAATCACGCCTCTCCCCCCTCCCACAAAAAATGGAGAACGATATTTTTAAAAGGGCACCAATCCACTGAACATTCAAACACAAATGTGCATCAAAGAAATGGCAAATATGAGCTGGAGATGAAATTACCTCATACTGGTAACTATCTGCAAACTTCCATCTCATCTGACTTCACTTGTGATTCAAATTGGTACAAAGAAAATGGAAGTACACTGTTTTGATGTTAATATTAGAAAAAAAAATGCCTGCCATGTTAAGATTTAATTCTTAATGGGGGACTAAAAGTTTCTTAATACAGGTTCCTTAAGACACTACAAACAATATCATCGATACTTTAAAAATACTATCAAAATAAGTACCCACACTAACAATTCTGAGTATTTATGTAGGCAAATTTCCTTGCACATTTTTCCATCATCACCCAAAACAAGGCCTCTGATATTTTTAAGAAGAAAGCATTACGGGAAAAGCAACTTCATCGGGTTCAGTTCTAACCTCCAGCCAAACTCAAAATACTCAAAATACTTAGAAAGGAATGTGGTTGGTTCCAAGTGCAGTCCATCCAAAAATATGCATACAAATTTACTCTATGAACTGTAAACTAAAGTATCATTAAAAACAGGAGGGGTAGTTTAAACAAAAGTATCACATATACACCACTATTGAGAGATCTTTTACAGAGACAAATATTGCATAATTAACCATTATTGTCTACAACTACTGTAGCCCCAAGAGCCATTTCTAAATTTCTTTTCCAGTCATAAGCTGTCTTGTCTGAGAGGTAGGGAACTGGGCGTTGACCTAGTCATCCTCGTCAGACTCTAAACAATGACAGAAGATATAAAAAAGATGATATCACCTGCTTGGAGATTAGTAACGTCTAGTATCAATCCATGAGATTGATTACAGAATGCAAGGTTATATAAATCCCAATCTTCTCTCTACTAATCATGATGAAATACCACACAGCAACGCAATGGAGGTAGAAATTGTGGGTGGTCTTTTCAATTAAATCCTGGTGAGTTGTGCTTGTAAACTCTGACTCTGAAATAGTCTATCTGGGGCAAAAAAACCTTCTGCTTCTAGTTTACCAACCATTCCAAATTTTTGGCATAACCCTAGAATTTTTATCAGAAAGTTAGAGAAAGGAAAATAAAAAAAAATCCTGTTGTGTTTTCTGTTTTCACAAAACACCTCTCAATTGTTTTTCACGTCCAAATGCTTGTATTTCCATGTTTTCCTACTTACATTCGCAACTGTTGAAAAAACTTCTGTTATATCCACAAGTTCCCTCGCATTTCACTATCCAATAGTAAACACACATGCGCACTGATTTTCAATGCACTGAAGCAATGCCACACTGGTTTCCACTGTACCATTGACAAAAAGGTTGATGGAAATGCAGCAACCAGTCTATGCATCCTGTCGCAGTACAAGGTTTGTCATCCACCCCTCTAGATGCACCACGCATGCTAATCATCGACTGTAAGTATTTGCCCATTGATTAAGGCAAGTTTTCATCATTTTTGGTGGCAATTTTGGCTGCTTTTTATCCCATCAATTAGCACAAATACTGACTCTCTACCCCAATATTCCTGACCTATCAACCCAATTTTTGAGAGGCACGTAATCGGAAGCAGAACTTTTAGGGGGACTCACTCTCTATAAACATATGGTCCAAGGTGTCTATATCGTAAGTTTCTTGAGCTTTGTCAATGGCAATAATGTATTTACTCTGAAGAGTTTAAAGCTGTAAGGTACTAAACACAAGAAAATCAGTGCACCAAAATAGTCGAACTTGACTCCTAAAGAGCATGTGTCAAACACAGAAGGCACAGGTCAGCCACAAGGGCACAGGTCAACCATTAAGGGCATAGGTCAACCACAAATGGCATACGTCAACCCAAAAAGGCGTAGGTCAACCAAAAAAAGGCATGGGTCAACCACAAAGGGCATAGGTCCATTGCAAAGGAAAATGGTCAATCACTCATGGATTGAGTTACATTCATAAGACTATCTCGTCAGAATAATTCACCACAAATAATGATTTACGACCCAAACTTACAGTACTTGAATTACAAACTGCGGGCAGAACACAAGTTAAAGGTCAAATTAGCACCTACCTTCCTCGGCATTCTCCAGCCATTCCACAAACTGCTGAAGGTGATTCAAGAAGACACTCTTGCCTTTGCCAACGTGGATCTCCTTGTTCCATTTCAAGATGGTCTCCTCCGACAAAACATCAGCTACAAAATAAAAATACCGAGTACATGGAACTTGTCATTACTACTTTTAGTGCTAATTAACCCGTATTCATGAAAGCTGTGAACTTACACTGAAACAGAAAATGTATCACTTGTTCAAATTAATAACTAGCTCTTCACACCTGAATCATTACAAGACATAAAAAAGAAAGCAGTTACAGTCGACTTTCGTTAATACGTTTTTGGGCCGGGTGTTTGGTTACGGAACACAATTTTAGTCTTGGGGAATTTTGGGGGGCGGGGAATCAAACAAAAGATTTTTTTTGTTCCCCACTGTCCTAAGTACTGCAGCACTTTGGCTGCACTCACTTGTACTCAGGCGGTGCGAGAGCCGCCACACAGAATTTCTATGTTGGGTATGGGAACCACAAATGCTTATTGTTCATCTCTCTTGCAGCAACGGACACAAACGGCTCGATTTGATGAGGGAAAACTGCAGCGCTATTCTACTGTACACGCATAAATTACGGAAGCGCCTTTCAAAATTGAATGGACTGGCTGATTGACAAGTTGCCTTCCAAAAAGCTTGCGCTCAATAGACAGATAACAATAGATTTGCACTCGACCACTGACAAAAAAAAGCTCATCTTAACCGAAATCTTGTAACATCCGAGCTCGTATTACACATTTTTTCCCTCATAGGAATGTGCACAGTTCAGTCGGGACTGACAAATACGCTCGTCTAAACCGGAGTCCCATCTTACCCGAGCTCGTATTACCGAGAGTCGACTGTATAAGAAATACCAGATGAATGAGAACAGAAGTGCTTGCAGGTTGAAGAACTGCTAGAAAGACTCACTTTTATAGAGAAGAACCACAATTTTCTGGAAGGTCTTCATGAAGCTGATGTTGGTGTAACAGTAATCCTGAGAAGGCATTTTGAAAAAGTGAGAGATGGTCGGCTACTCCTATAAATCCAATTACAAACACAGCTTCTCTAACTCCAAATATGGCCTGATGGTAGGATCAGTTTTGTGTGAAATAAAAACCCTTGGTTACTGAAAAAGGTTGTCCAGTCTGACAGAATGTTATTTGTCCCCAGTCAGAAAGACAATACTGACTTCATCGGAGGTGTCTTAAGCCAGCCTCAGGTCTATCGGGCTGAAACATCATTCTAGGGACAATAGGTCGAAAAGATAGCACACGCATATAAATAGGAAAAAAATGTGGAAACACTGCTCAATTTACAAAGGATGAACCCTTAAAAGACAGGTTCTCAAAACTCAAAAATATTCTGATTCCTATATACGTCATTTGGGAAAAAAGAATATTTTAGGTGGAAGCAGAGCAATGTTACAACGGATTTTCTTTGTGCTACTCTTGGAAAAGTGACGAGACATTCTCATCACACAAATGGGCAAACGTTCTTAAATTGGACCATCCAGTCGTTTTGAGCTGCCATCAATGGAGCAGCGTGCATTGTCAATACAACAGGCTGACGTATACAACAAAGACAGAGACTTGAAGAACAGGTGAATTGGAGGTGACTTGTAGCACTCACCTGGATTTCATAGAGAAGAGTCAATTCTGTGCTTGCCTGAGAAGTGAAGCCAGCAAGCAGAGGGGCGTAAGGCTACGTAAGGCAGAAAAACAGAAAGCATAGGAATTAACTCCCGCATAAACAATGGCACTGTATGAATTGAACTCGTGGCTTAAATGCACTTTTGCCCTGTTACAAATTCCGGTACAAATTGTTGAATTCTGAAAACCTGGGCAGGTTGTTGTTTGGCATTCTAATCACAACTATTCAACATATTCAGAACATATCTTCTTGTGACATACTAGGATGAAAACTGTTCTGGTGTGCGACACAAATTGTGGAAGTTGGTGGGCAAAGGTTACAAGTGGCAAGCATACCTTGATGTGTCTCAACGCCTGGTCAGTAATCAACTCTTCCTTCTTGTTCCATTCTACTATGTCCATGATACAGTTCCAGATCTGACACAAAACACAGGTTTTAATCTTAACAACACATTCAGTATTTCAACTACATTACCATTTAACTCCTCAACCCTAAAAAAGCTGGGTTATTTTGGGCCATCTCACAGCCCAGGGTAGCAGATTCCGGCCCCTCCCTGAAAACTTGGTTGTTCCGTTCCCACTTTTTTTCAAACTTGCCATGCATGTAGAACACTCCTTATCAGTATAAATGTAAAGTTTCAATTTAATCCAATACAGTCACGTAAAGCTCAAGGCCACATGCATGCTAGCCGGCATGCACTGAGCACAGCAGTGGTTAAGGTATACATTTCCCCCCCCCCTGTCTTGGAAAAATGGGCAGTAAACGAGAATGGTAGAATTGATTATCACAGAAGTGGAGTCATAATGACTGCAAAGAGTTACTGAAAATACTTGTAGAGGTTTAGCTCATGAAAAACTAACACTGCAGCAATATCAGAAGAAACAGGAAGGAGGGGAAGTTCCCTTCTGCTCTTTAAGGGTCAACTGCATATAGATTTGGTAAAAGTTTCTTGGTATAAATGTCACTGACAGTTTCTGACTGATGCTTTCCTTCTGTCCCGAGTCAGTAAGATTTTGACTTCAGTGCTGGTGTCTTAAGCCAACATCAGAAGTCTATCGGGTAAATAACATCATTCTCAGGGCAGCACGTCTTCAGTTGTTTCAAAAAGTGGCTTACAATTTTTATTAAAGACCAACTCCAACGGTTTTAAAAGTTTTGGAAATAAACTATTATTGTATTTAGTGTGTAATAAATCATATATTCATTACCAAATCATGTCTGTATTGCATCTGTATTTTTGGTAATTTTGCTGAAACTTGGAATTCAGTGTATTCAAGTTTTATGAAAACTTTCCATAATCTGACCACTGGTTGTTGAGAAACAAAATTTGTAAAATGTAATACGCACAGAAAATTCTGCAAAAGAACTAGGACTGAAATTCTTTTGAGTTTCCAAAGAATGAGAGTATTCTTCAAGTTTATGCTGCCCTCTGTGGCTATGCATTCCTAATGTGCATGCACTGTATTTCCTCTCCATGGTAATGCATCACAAAAATTAATATGCATTAGATGCTAATGAGTCGTGATGACACAACCATTTTTACAATACCAGGCTGGACTCGCAGGAGAAATGGGTATAAAAACTGTATTTATTAACACAAAAATGTGTATCGCAAGGGAGATATTGATATGTGCCACCTGTATTAGATTTGGCTTTTCTGAATTGGATTCAATGAGGAAAGTTAGCATAGTTGGAGTTGGGCTTCAAGGTTGTAGCCTTTTCGCACACACTTGTAACGCACGGCATTGTGTACCTTTAATTGGTTCCGTGGACTGTGTTTACATAAATTTAACAGATAAGGAACTGTAAAATAAACTTGTCATCAGGACTTAAGTATAAATGACCTAGGTCAGAGGAAAAATGTGTTCGTTCCTTACCAGTTTGACCACTTCAGGCTCAGAGAGTAATGTCTTGGTCTTCATCTCGGAGCAAATTCCTACCAACTATGAAAATGAGGCAAAAAAAAAGAAACTTATCCTTTAGCAAGAGGGAAAAGGACAAGAACTCTGCCCACATTTTTAACAACCAGCTGATTACCTCAAATGGAATGAACTTGTAAAATTCACAGTTTTATCTTAATTATCCCTAACCCCTAAGGTGTATGTAAAATCTGATTGAAATTGGCAGACTGCAGACTGTTAAGCGTTACTAAATCATAATGAAGGTTTTAATAAACACCACCTTGAATATGATCTTGTAAATAAATATAAATCTTCCATTTGAAGCACTACACTCCCTTGTCAAAGTTTACCTCTTTGGCGGTAGGAGGGTTTTCTTTCTCCATCAGTTCTTTCAGCTCAGTCATGAAGGAGTTCTTATTGTCATCATGTAACATATTCCTCTGGAAGGTGACAAGCTGATCTAACCCCGCCTCGTTGAAACATTTCTCAAAGTATTCTTCAGACCTCTTAGTACTAGGGATAACCTCCTACAAATCAAGCAGAAGACACCGACAAAGAAATCATAAGACAGACTTCTAATACTTTTAATCTTTTTTTCTGCATCACATGCTTCACAGTTATACACAGTTGAATTCCAATATGTGACGGTCTCCGCAAAAATGGGTATTATGAGACTTTTTTTTTTAAATTAGTTACATACACATTTGAATTGGTTACATTATAAGCTCTTACTTTAGTGTAAGTTTGAATCCTGTGGCCTGTTGCAATCTGGAGATATCCTGATTTTTGCATAATTATATCATACACAGTGATGGCGTAATGTTGGGGGGTTTCTTCCCCCAAACTGACAGAGTCAAACAAAAGACAAATAAAATGGACACAAATCTTTCATTTTTTTTTACCTTTATTCATCAATATTATTATTTCTGGTAATAAATTATGAAGATATTGATTTAATACAAGCCAATAAACCAAGAAGTAAACAGTTACATTTTTCATCTGGTTTTCACCCTCTCTACGTAGAACAAGCCTTGGCAAGAAATAGCAGTGTTCCGTACTACCCTTTTTACAGAGGGGTCACATACATTTTTGGCAGACATCTGTGTGGCCAAAGAGATCCTGGTTGAAGGATCTTGTCGTACGCAATGCTACCTTTTATATACACTGGATGTGTATTCAAACCAAAATAAAGGTTCATGTAATCTGATGTAATGAGAGCAAATAAGCTAACAAGGCATCTTCACTAAGGCTACTGTTCACACTATATTCTTGTAATTTTGCTCCAGACATAGTCTCACATACTTTTGTTCTTCAAAGCAGGGGCATGGTAAGGATACTTTGATATTTTGTTCCAGTTTTGAAAACTAATTCAACGTTTTAGTTTCAAGTTTAGTTTAAGCTGATGATTACTGCCAACTTACCAGCAGCCTACGATCCATGGAAGCCTTGCGGAGGACATTGGCAATACTGCTCATATCCTTCTCCCCGAGCCAAGTGTGGAACATCACCTTAAAGAACTCCAGGGAAATCCCTGACAAAGGTCAACACAGCAAAGAGAATTTGAGTCTCCAGTTTGTATGATCGTGACAAAAATTATTGGACAACAAAAAACCCGAGTCTGCCTTACCTTCCTTGACTAGAGTTTCGGTGTACAAGCTCTCGAGGCATTTGGCAGGATTATCGCCTGTACAGAGAAACAACCCTGTAAATATGGCCAACTTGTTGCGCTCTGACTGACTGAAGGTCTTCAGAAACGACAGGATCTAGACAGATAAGAGGGGAAACTTGTTGGTTACTGATTGAGGGTTTGTAACCTAAAATGCTATACCAAACGCAACGGGCAATTTCGATTATACTCAGCTAAATTTGCTCGACTGATAAGCAATTATTAAGTACAAGTTAAAAACTAAATTAGAAATCTGTTTTAGAATAGTATGATTACGGTGCTCTCAAAAGAAAAACTGTTCACCTTCTTCATTTCATCATCCTCCAATTTCTTGCCCAAGTACCTGTAACGCCTTGTCAATCTCTGGAACACCTGTTGAAAAAACAAACAAAATGAGCCTTTCAATGCCATGCAGCCTAGTCAGGAAATCTTACCCTACATACCATACGGGTACTGGCCTATGAGTGGTGGGTGCAGAGTACCAGTGACCAATTTTCAACTGAATGTGCAAAAGCATGGTTGTACTGCCACAATGTATTCCAATCAACAGCTAACTGGTCAATGCCATTGATTCAACTTGCTGGAAGATCTTCTTACCATGGCCACACCCTTAATAGCCTCGGTGGTCTCCTCCGCTGAGAAGAGGCAGAACTTACTGATGGTAGTCTCTTTCTTGTCGTCATCTTGAAGGAGTGAACCTCCAGGGGCTAAAGAAGATAGAAATAAACTATGTAGGTCAAATACCAGGAGTCAAAGCAGTAAGTTTCACATCATAGGCACTACACAAATACTACAAGAGACTATAGTATAAAGGCACACTCTCGTACTGTTTTTCTTTCTAATGCACTCGTAAGTGCTGACCTCATGTCAAACCACTACAAAGACCCCAACACTGTTTTGTCAATCATGGACAAGGCAAGACAAACACCACCTTGTCTGACTTTGAAAGAAGCACAGTTCCTTTTCAACTGCACTAGGATCACCAGATAGTGTCACTTGAAAAATGTTAAAACGACACCTCAATCAAACCTACGATATGACTTAGTGTCTTTAACACACCTACCTAAGATGCCTCCAGCTAAGAGAATATCAAAGAGTGTCTCCCAGTAACGTTTGTAGTCGAGCTTGCTGCCAGCACCATCTAGATACTTGGTGACCTCATCCAGATTACTTACATTGATATCATTAAGACCATTCACCAGAATGTCACGAAATCCATTAGGGTCGTACTTCTCTTTCTCATCTGTCAATAATCAAGGAAAAGAAAACTGTGATTGATGTTGACTATCTACGAATATTGGTCCTTGTACAAGCTGAAATTTTTGAAATGAGCCAATCTGGCCAGAGCTGAAGTGCACCCTCACTGACAAAAGAAAGACAGGTTGGTGCCAAGTCTTTCAACTGGGTTCTTGTAGGCCTTTGGCATGCAAGCGAAGACCATACATTCCAGAATAAATTCATTACGCATACTTAGCGTTTTCTGCGTCAAACACAGAAACTTGCACGCCTATGCGGTGAGTTCGCACCAAAGAACCGTCAATTTTGTTTAAAAACACGCCCTCCTTTGTTCCCGCTCGGAGAGGATGGCAATCAGAAAGTTTACATGTCTTCACTGGGCTCAAGAAGTCAGGGTCAGATTATCAAAGGCTAGTGTCCTAAAAAGCACACTGCACCCAAGATGTGACCAGGCTTCCCTGTCCAGCCAACTAACCGAAGGTCCAGCCACCAATGTCCAGAAGAAAGCCAGTAGAACACTGACCTCCAACAGACAATGGAACTGGAGGTCTCAGGACGTGTCAGGACAAAGCTCAGAGAATGGATAAACTGTCACATCATTTTGCACAAACAGAAATAATATCACCAAAATTAATGAGTTAGGTAACTGAAGTGGATCACTTTCAACAACTTCCAGATTCCAGCAAAAACAAGTACCTTGCTTCAAACTTCAAACCTGTGAAATACTGTGTGGACATTTAACTATGTCAGTTGGTCCTAGCTTGGCTGTCTCCTGATTTGTCAATGTCTGGTTTCAAAGGGCTTTTTTTTAGATGTCGTTTCAAAGGACATGACTAAATGAGCAGACAACAATCACGAGGCCAGAAAACTCAAAGGAGCACGTGTAGCGGCCAAACCCATTTTTGATTTCTACCCCATTGAGGGCGCTATAAGCTGGGACCATAAAAAACAGCACTGAAATAAGATGGCTCCATCATGTTTTGCATCTGACAGATTTTGATTCGCCCATCCTGCCGAAGTTTATTAAACGGTTAGAGCTCATTAATCTCAGAATTCTCATATTAAATTAAAGAATTTGATTTAGTAATTACTGGGTTAGTTATAGTCTTGTATAAGCTGAAACTCACTCATTTAGGCAATGCTGTTACATCGGTGGAATACTTTATTGTAAATGGTAAATAATACAAATACGCACATGGGAGGCCTACATATTGGAGCTATAGTCAAAATTATGGGGTTTCGTAACTTTGTCTATCTTAAATATTGGGCATCATAGTCTTTTAGGGGAACTTAGATACATGTATTAGTGTCACTTACATACACCTAAGTGCAAGCTATAATTGAGGTCGAAGTAGACATTGGGTGCATGTATATTTACATGTTCAAAGTGGGCACACATACATGTATTATTATCACCTAGACATCGGATGTACCGTACTCATAATTTCTGTTTTATTTTAATTTTATTGTAGTCAATCTGTGCCTGTGTCTGTGCATCAAGCTGTACACATGAACCAGAAGAGAAGCATTACACATCCGGATCTGAAGTGCACACTGTACATGTACAGCACTGCGTGTGTATCCTTTGGCACATTCAGCACAGATTCACTTTTCTGAAGGTTAAAAATTAGCTTCCATCGATTTATTTTTATTCCTCCCAAATGTTTTTGGTTGGTCTTTTTCAGCCAAGTGACTTACCCCGTTTCCGGGTCCTGATCCGCTGACCTGTGAGGACGGGTTTGGGCTGCTTATTACTCATAAATAAAAGTGTTTGCTGCGAGGAAAAGAAGAAACACTAAATGTTAAATAGTACTAAATCTCTCATCAATATGAGGTCAAAACAACAGATGTCCAAACAGCTGCTCAGACTCAAGCTAAGTAAGCTTAGGGAATGACCGAACACTTGCAGTGACTTTGGTACTTTCAGAGCACTTCACTTTAGAAACATGGCCACTTTAAAAATAAACAACATGTTTTATTCAGTTATCAAACCAGCTTATTTCAAAACTTGGCTTCATGCAGGCATGCAACTTGGACTCTGGAAAAAAGGAGGAAATTCCAATCTTTACAAGACTTTATTCAGTGTTTTTTTATTTTCAATGGCATGAGTGGGAAGTGAAAAAGAAAGAAATCAGCTGATCCAATGAAAAGATGCATGCCTGTTCATGAAAGATCACTTGCTCTCTCATGAATGCGAAATCAATTTGACATCAAGAACCATTCATTGTGAAATTCCCCGAGTTGAACATTCAAGTCACAGAAGTTCCACGTGACATGAAGTAGACAGTCCAGTCATGGACACGAGTACAACAGAGTGAAAATCAAGTCATCCCCAATTAAAAGTAAACATGTCAGGGACATGTATTAGACATTAAGTCAATAATGGCCATGTATACAATCATCTTTGAAATCACATGTACCCAAAACACAGCACCAAAACAGTTCCCCTTTGAATGTTATCCCATGATAGCTGGCATTGACCTGTCGGAAAACAGCAAGTCAGCAGTGTGATTTCATTGGTTAGAATCACTGACTCATAGCCCAATGCTTGTCATCATTCTTGCTGTACACTGCTACAAAGTGCAGACAACTATGCTATCATGACCATACATCATATTCAAGGCTACAAGTGTGTCCATGAGGCATTTGGCATTCTGTTCATGGTAAAAAGCCTGGGACTTCCCAGAGCCAATGAAGGCAATTGGCCTAAGAAACACGATTAACCTTGGACTTTGTGTTGCTGTTCCTAGAAATGACAATGAAGCATTTGATAACTGCACCAAACCAGACGTAATAGCCTTGTCCTAACTAAGCAAGGTTACAACAAACACACTCAATAATATATTAAATAATATCACTTCTGGGGTATAAAAACCTAATCAAAACACAAAACCCAATTATTTCCATGATTTTGAACACATCCAGAGTATAAGTCTGGAAAACATTTTTTTAAACTAATTAGAACTCAACTCTTATTTCTGTTCATCCACCTTCAACAAATACAAAACGTATTTATCTTCGGCCTTCAAAGATAAAAACTGACATTTGGGCCATGTGAGCCCCTTCTTATGTTTCCAAGCTAAACTTTTTTCAATAATTGCTATTTTCTTTCACGATAAAAAAGTCTTTGAAGAGGGGACTAACAAAAACCAAAACTCACTGGGATTTTAACAAGCCTTTTCTTGTCACTGCCAAACAATTTCCTCCGTTACTCTACCTACAATCAGAGCCCACTCAGACCAGTACCTTAGAGGGGGAAAAAAGCAAAACAAAACATCAAAACAAAAATAAACAAACACAAACCTATTTTCAGGATATTACAGGGATGAAAATAACAAAGATTCATTTACTAAAAAATGGTGTGCTGAAATAAGGACTGAAGTTCAATTAAACAAGTGACCACTGCATTTTAAATTGCAGTGTGAAATTTCGAAGTGAAAGAACTGTCTCATATTGTATAAAAGTTAAGACTCCAAAGGTATTTTTGCTGTGGTCAAAAATCAGAATCGAAATCTCTAGTGTTTGGTAATTCCAATTTTTGTTACATCTCAGTCTATTGGTTTGTCTTTGTTTTGTTTTGTGCTTGTTTTGTTTGGACTGTATTGTACTGCAATTGTCTTTCTTTCATGTATAATCTGTTGTCAGTCTTCCTTGTCTGGTTCTTTCTTGTCTTAATAAAGCATTTCTGTCTAAGACATTGTCTTCTGAAGATGCCTCCATATCTGCCCCCTTTGATTTCAGTGTCTTATGGTCTTATTTAATTTTCACTCTTGTAGTCAAAAATCTTTTACTTATTGACCCTGTGTATGATTTGATACATACATTGCAATATGGAAATAGACGTCGAGTCAAGAAAAAACCAACAAACAATCAATCCATACCTGCAAGCAACAAACATTAATTGTACTAAGGGACCCTCGCTCGATTCAGGTAGTCTTCATAGTTTACTGGACTTCCCCTTTCCACAAATTTAGTTAAACTACAGTAGTAAACATTCAACATGCTATTGCTTCCTTCTGTGCAGATGTATCCCAAAATGTCAGGGTGTTATTCTAGAGTGTCATTTGCTGTTCAAAACATACCGAATTTCATTTCTAATAAAGGACAGGGGCACTTAACATACATGTAACTGTACATTATACACAAGGCCAATGCACTGACAACATCATAGTTTGTTTTCCTGAATGCTGCAACGTTTGGTAGCTGTGATCACATCAAAACTGTACACCAGACATCAACACACTCAGGTATCAGGTGTCAGCGTGCATAACGACACGATATGGTTTTTGTGAATGGTCTGCTGGGCCAGCGTGACATGACATCATCTCCAGGACATTAAAATACCATTTAAATCAGTATTTGAGCAAGGTGGCGACTTCAAGCTTGACGACAAGAGCATTTCCAATTTGACAGGGAAATTTCTCTTTTCTTCCAAAATGGGATAAACCTTACCATATTTATTGGAAAGGCCAATTCTCACTTAATCCTAAGCTAGGAACATTAGACAGTTTAAGACCATTTTGGACGTGAATTTGGAGGATTTGATTCCGGGTACGAACTATTTTGTGTGAAATGAATAAATGGGATGGAAAGCCTATGCAAGGTATTGTCACCTGACCATGTCCAAATGTTAGACTGTTAGAAAGGCGATTCCTAGAGTCCGAGTTACTCGGACTTCTAGCAACTATGCAACCCAATGCTTCCTTGGCTTTGAGTCCCCATATTTCTTGTTTGGTTTTACTGACACAACATGTTCATTAATTTGTTGCAGGTCATTAAGTTTACGGATGATGAAATATGGTCCTAACATTTGTTTGCCACCAACACAGAATACCAGTCAGCAAATGTCGCCCCTAACGACTTTGCCCTATCCCCACTTCCCCCCATTTCCCCTTTGCCGTCCGTGCTCGGTTGTAATATAAGCCTCTTAAAAAATGGTTGAGACTTGAGAGGGTTGTTCCACAAAAGACACAGTTATTATAGAAAACTCTACAGCATTAAATTAACATTGACTGCGTTGTCCATCGGGGTTATTTCTCATCACGTACATGTACGATTGCCGCGGCATAAATAGACTGGTTGCCACACTCCATCACGCATTCCTTTACACAGGTGCAGTGTGGCGGGAACCAGCACTTTGCTCACGTGTTTTTCCACAGTGACAACAAAACACAGAAAAAACTTTTTTTTGTCGAGGGTCTCGCCGAAAAGTTTGGGTTCGGCGGTTGAGAAATCAGAACCCGTTTTGACCTCTGAAAGTTGGATTCTCCGATTGTTATTTGGGTACTCAAACACCTATGTTTTTACTTGTTGCATCCAGGCCTATGGCTCTGTTACTGAAGAACGGAATGAACAATAATCAATGGGGAAAGTGGAAATGGGGCGAAGTGGTTAGGGGCGAAGTGGTTTGGGGCGAAGTGGTTAGGGGCGAAGTGACCACCCCCCGCATGGTCAGGCATTCTTCATGTAATTTTTTTCTTTCTGTCAAATGAACAAAGAAAAAAAAACACCACCAAACACACCAAGTAAAAGGCCATGGCCTACTATGCCAACCACAATAAACTGTGCAGAACTAAAGAACACTCTTTCCACAACACAGGAATGTTGGCACAATTTCCTTTTCACTAAACCAGAAGTCACTAAACCAGAAGTAAAATCATTGGGTAAAATCCTCTGAATGTAGGCCTACTGAAATCAAAAGAAAAGTTCTTTTTCCAAGATGTGCGACTGGTGTCCGTTTCCATGCACGTAGGCTTATGCCAATTTCTGAACACAGCAGAATACCAGCAAGTAGGCTAAGGTAAAAAGGTTTTCCAGTTTAAAATTCGACTAAATCTTCATTAAACAGGGAGCTCATTTAAAACTGCTTCCGTAATTATCATTATGGATCCTTAATCAATCCACCAAGTTACATTTCAGCAAAAAGGATACCAACATTCACACAAAATATAACACAATCTTGGAGCAACTTACGGAAGTTCCCTTGCTTACTCAACAGTCGTGCAATGGCGTACGAGTCGAGTGCGCGCACGTACATGTACAGTGCAGTGTACTATGTAAGTAAGTGTGCATATTCCGCGTATTTCACGTACAACGTGTGCGGGGAGCTCGTCCCATAAAGGTTTTGGACAAATGACTCATGACGACTTTTAAAAAAAATTAATAAACTAGGTATGCAGAAAAGTGCGGCCACACACAAAAGTAAGACAGAAGGCCAGGATGGGAGATATCCAGTGGAGGAAGTGCTCCTTACAAACCTTCTCTGAAATTTTACCAAGCAAATTAACCAATGTTTAAACAAAATAAAGAAAATGTAAACGCTTCCAATCCACAACGGAGCAAAAAAATAGAAACTGTAGAAGCTGGTACCTTTATAATTGTAGTTTTTAAGTTTATACCACTATCGAAACTTTGTCTCCAATAAAAAAGTGGACACGAAATAGTTTAGGTATTTAGAGAGAAAGAAGTAACATGACGTATTAAACTGGTGATGCAAATACATGTACACTGTACAGGTACACGTACTGTATGTACAAGTACCTGTGTCGTATTATGTACATGTATTGCAAGAAAAGATCGTATAGCGCCGCCAAGAATCTTTGATTGCAAGTTCTAAGTTGTAGCTCTGAAGAAAACTTGTATTGCAACCCAAAATAGTACGGTAGTGGCGCCCCCTTACCATGACCTGCTAAAAATAGTGTAAAGTATGAGAGCCCAGTCTTGCCAGTAAAATAAAAAAAATTGTGAGAAACAAATTCATTTGTATGAATTACTAATTTGTTATTACAAATTAATTATTTGTTATCACGAGTTAATAATTCGTTATTTTGAATTATTTATTTATTAATATGGATTATAATTTCGAAATTACCAATTAGTAATTCGTGATGAAGAATTAGTATCCCACTAAAATGTTTGTTTAAGTGGCACTACAGGACTTTCGTACTAACTCGTGTGGTCCACCAATATAATAAACATGGCCGACTCCAAAAAACAGGAGAAAAGAGCACCAGAGAAAAAAGTTGATCTTGGATTACTTGAGGAGGATGACGAATTCGAAGAATTTCCAGCAGAGGGTCAGTATAGACAACGTTGTCTTGAAAATACTACAGAAGATTTTTTTTGTGTTTGTATCTGTTTGGGGCAGTCGGGGCCTTACATCATGTTCATTTTCAACTTTCAATTGTCGTTGTTGGGGCGAGTTAGGGCTCACGTGCGATTCGTTAGGTAAAGATTAAAACTTTTCGCCCCTGTATTGAAGGCTTGGAAAGAGTTCCATGTACCGGTCATTACCGATCATGCCGGTCGTACTAGTCTGCGTCAACACACGTTAAAACTTAAGTAGCGTCAACAAAGAGTGACAAAGCGTTAACATCTTGAGAATATCCTCTTGAGGTTTCAAAGTGGTTTTAATTTATATTCTTAACATGTTCCACTGACTGTGACCATGCCATGGTGCATGGACATGATGGACTGTGTAATTGTAAGAAAAATGGAATTTTATTCCAGATTCATTCCAGAAAACAAACATTTTCCAATGTTTTCGTGATAAATGGGAACCACCATCATTCTTTTCTCTGCCGTCCACGCGAAAACAAGATGGCAGCTGGTTTGGCTGCACAAGCAGAATTATCATTTTAGATAAATGTAATATAGTGAATAGATGACATGTAGATCATACCCAGTTGTATATTGTGCATATAATTTTTTTGCATAGAGATTCATGAATAACTCGACACTTTGCTGACACTACTTGATGCTTTGTTGACGGTACTTCATGCTTGTTGACGCTAAATAGCATGACCCGATGATGATGCTTTATTTGGAAAGAGTTCCATATGCCTCTTGAGACTCCATCCTGACCCCGCATTGGATGCCACATCGCATAAACCCCTGGACTTGAGTTTGAGTCAGTCTTGAGACTGGTCGGAAAAAGTATTTTAGAAGTAAACGACTGTGTATTTTCCCTCCTATTCAGTGACCTTTTTTGGCATGTTTTTGAGTTTTGCTTTCTGATGGCTTATAGGTCACTATAGGGAATAAATACTGGTGGTCGTATGTGGAACTCTTTCCCTGTTTATAATGACATTTTTTATTTTCATTACGTATTCCCAGGGCAAAGCCTGGCATACATGGCATGTTTAGGTCGACATTTACACAATGGCTAGCTTATTGTTTATGTTAAGGAAGTTTAGGCAGGTCTGTGTATTCTGTCTGCTTTTTTGCACTGGTTGGGTGTATTGGAAACGGGAACTAGACCACTCTACAGCGAATGGATCTCAGACTCTCTGGGGGTATGAAGCTATCAAGAAAAAGAATCAAATATAGAGAGTAAACAGGTGATCTGATTGAGAAACTAAAGAAACTAAATGGGGGGCAAAGAAACAAAACTCCTGCAGCGATTTGGCTCGATCTTAGCACATCACGATTGCAGACCAGCACACGTTCAGTGACCCTGAGTGTACGTGAACAATATAAGCATATCTGTACCAGATCACGATCAAACATACACTGCCTAATTTTCTGAAGAAACCTGTGGACCATCACAGACTATGTTCCTGAATTTTAAGTCTTCGATCAACTTCCTGATGCCCCCAAAAAGGAATTACGCTAGAATAACTTCATTTTGGGAGAAGCCAGAGAAAAAGAGTGAACTACGCGTAGTCTAGTGAGCAGATTGGGCGAGATAATCTGTCAAGGCGCGCTGACTTATTCTTGTGAATTTTTCTGAAAGAATGGGGAAGCGAAGAGGAGGATCCTACTGACTCCAATGTTTGGGAGGACAACTGGGATGATGATGATGTGGAGGATGATTTCTCCAAGCAGCTGAGGTTAGTATCAATTGAGGGGGTGAGATTTCTGGAATATTGCTAGTGTGCCAAATATCTTTTTGCGATGTTTATGTTGGGTCCATGAAAAAAGCTTAATTTCAGCTGAATTTGCCACTTCCACAAGCAAACTGGTATTTTGGTTTTATTATGACAGGTTAGATCTAAATCAAAGTATGTGCAGCATTTTTTCAAACACTACAGATTTTTTTTCCCCCTTTTGTTCAGAGCGGAACTTGAAAAACAGGGGAGCAAAGACCAGCCAGAACCAATGAAGACGTAGCATGAAGCAGGAGGGGGGGTCAAGGGTCACATCTGAGGTCATTTCACCTTTGGAAAACCTAAACAAGGTTTAAACTGAGATCTATCAGCTATGGACTTGATCAGCTCAGTAATTGGGCATCAAATTATGGAAGAATGTACGTCATCATGTTGGCATCAGATTTTAAGTTTCACTGTGTAAAGCTGTAGGTTGTAGAGAGTGTTTTGAATTGACATTCAAAGACTTGCATATATTCTTTATAAAAGTTTCTTTTATTCTGTAATGAAATTTGCAAGGAACTACCCATTTCTACAGTAGTTCAAGGGCACTGCAGCACTATCACCTCACAAATACATGTTGCAAAGATACAGATACTCTTCTGATTAGTTGACTAAATTTTCTTTGAATGCTTATCTGGGAATACCTAGAGGCTCTGAATGACATAGCATTCTAACAAAAGGCCTTGTCAGTGAATTCAGTATCTGGTTTTGTCATTGACACATTCATGTTGCTTGTTGGTTATAGCCAGTTGATGCTTTGAATACCAAACTTCAAATGCAGTTCTTCAAAAAATGAAGAAGCAGACATTTGTAAGTTTTCCAAGGTGTTTAAGGAACCCATGTGCATTTTGTTTCATCTACCCTTACCTCTTTGTGAACTTCTATACGTTGCTTTCAAGAAAATTCTGAATTTTTACATGGTTTCAAAAGGGAGTTCCTTTTGTTTTGTGTATTAGTGGATTTCTTTTCTTTAAGTTTTTACAAGTACAGTAGAAATAAAAGCCACTGTAGAAGATCAGGATAAGTCTCCACAATTGATACATTTATCTAAACATAAGGAAACTTTGGGTGTTAACAAAAGTCCCATCACAAAATTACAATGAATGTTCTGTAAAGCATTTTTTAACTTGGAAACACATTGTTCCCTTCATGGATGTTAACTACAGTATATGAAAGAAGTTCAATTAAAATTGTAAGGATAAAATTGTTAAATATTTGTGGTTTTTATTTTAATAGTGTCTCTTTTGATGACTATAAAAATTTGGCTCTTTACATCCAATACCTACTCATGAATATTTTATTCATTTTCAGTGCAGATAAAAAGGAATAAAAAGTTTACATGACTTACTGAAAGCATCTGTATAAATTGCCTGCAAAGCTTATAAATCCCTAAATACCTCAACACAAATTTACAGTACCTGTAAGATAAAAAAAAATCCCAGTTAAACAAGATCACGTAGCAATACATTAAGTTTAGCACTTCATAATTGATAAATGAGTGAAACATGTTCCAGAGTAAATGCATCAGTGGTTTCTGCCCCATTTCAATTTTAACACTTAAACTTGTTTTATGTCAAATTCTCCCATACTAATTATATCTCTGCTCGTATTCCATGAGAATGTGTTGTATAGCATGATTTAATGTATTCTGGTTGAAACAGGTTATCATTATTCTTTCAACATAAGATACATGTATTTACACAGTAGAAAAAGTATATGTACACCTCTCCAAAGAGGTTTCAAAAAAGCTTTTGAGATTTTTATCTGAAAGATGCCATGTAGAGATGTTAAGCATTAAAAAAGAACCAAAACGACCCCATACTAATTCTACTTATTTTTACTCATTTCAAGACAGTGGATCATATAACACAATATAATTTGGTTGAAAACAATTATAGCTTCATATTTATTATATTCTTATTGCTTCATTCCTTTCAACGGCAGCAGAGTGATTTTTGAAATGGAAACAGTGGAGACTAATATGTAGACGGAGAACAAACACAATAGCTTGAAAAAAGGCAAAGACACAGAATAGGAGTTCTTGCAGACAACTTTAATTAAAAGTCACAGATTCAGTTATAAGAACCAACTGTGGACACCCCAATGGAAATTATCACAAACCTTTGTAGGCATCACTGGATAGAAAAAAATTGGACCTGGACACCGAAGGACTACCCTGAAGGTACACAAAGCCAATGGCCATAACAAGATGGAGTCTAAGACTGGACATTGTAAGGGATAGAAAGGTCCTTCTTCTTGAAGATGAACAGCAAGATGCCCACACCAAGCACAGTTCCAACTAACAACATTCCAATTCCAAACCCAACAAAAGCTCCTACAAGAGATATAGAACATTTTGGATTTATCCAAATATGAAAATGAATTAAGGTCATCAACATTTTATTTCTTTATCATGTGGTTCACCATGGTAAAAACATTACATTTCCCAAGTTTCCATTGCAAAGTAAAAGCAAGTGACTGAGCTCCAACAAACAGGAGAAATTCTCCCAGAGGTACACATTGATTCCTGTGAGACTATAGAAATGGTCATAGAGGTTTTAATTTACTGAGCCTGAAATGGTTTTAAGAATGTTTACAAGCTGAGTGAGCAGGGAATATAGTAACCTCAGCTCATTAAGACTTGGTGTCAAGTGTATTTTATAAAAATGATCTACTGTTACATGACAACTTTGGTTGCTCTCCAATTTTTAAAGAATTTTTGAATGGACGCAACACGTTAAATATATGATGATCACAGACTTTAGCAACAATATTCTTGACGGTAAACAAATACCAACCAAACCTTACCAGTGCTGAAGCCCTGAGAGCCACCTGGGTTGGGCTTGTTAGAACCAAATGTGTTTCGCAGCGAGTCAGGCTTGACAGTCAGTGTCTTCTCCTATTGAGGAAAAAAAGCAAAACGGAACGCTTTTCAAGACTGCCAAAGATGACACATTGATGAGTCTTTACATGACAGGTTTTTCCTCAAGTACAATTGTCTTCTATTCTGCTCATACATATATTCAAATGCATAAACTAACACTTGAACGGTATTGGAAGTTCCCATTTCACCCAATCATACTTTAGCTGCAGAACTTTACTGAACATCCAATCACATTATCAATTACAATCTTTCTTTACCGTGCTATTGTAGTGGAAGTTGATATAGAGGAACTTCTCCTCCAGAGCAGTGTTGATTGTCATCTCCAAGGTAACCGTCGCATCAGTCAGTGATGGCTGTTTGATCATGTCCACGGCATTCCCCTTAACATCAGGAACTCCAAGTAGGGTGAAGAAAACAGTTGTTACTTTGTCGTTACTTTCTTCTGCCTATGTGTGCGGTCACAAAAAAACAAATCAGGGAAAACAAATTAAAACCTGACATTGAGTTAGGAGTTGTTTTCTAAAAGACTGAGCAATGTACAGCCTTCATGCAAAAACTATATATGATGCTCTGAGGCCATGAAGGACCAATCATATGGTTTGCCATGAGGCATTTTCTGCAAGATGAGCACAAACCAGTATTCTGTTGTAAGAGAAAGGCATCCGACTAGTGTTACTGTGGCAACGGTAGTCAAGCTTTCAGTCATTTATTTTGCTGCTTCTTTACGGAGGGTATAATTATTAATGCGCATAACGCTGTAGGATGGGGAAATTTTCAGTGGGCAGTTGGCAGTCAGTTCATTGGCTTGAATGACTCTTTTTAAACTGGTTTCCATTTCATTTCTGCATGTTATTTCAACACCTTCTCTCTCTGTGTTCTTATTTTCTATGTCCAGCACAAGTTCAAAATTTAGTTTCAAAACAAAACGTTTGAACACTCAAAATGCAAATGTAGATTAAAACAACACTCCTTATTTAAATTAAAATCAGGAACAAGTTTGATAAATTCCACTCCATATAATTACTTAAACTGCAAGGTATGTAACATTAAACTAATACTAAAATTCAGTATAGAACTACTGACTGTCCTCAAGGAAAAAATACTAGTCTTGTCTCAAGGAGTTCACGTGTTGCTGTTGAACTTACAAGCACATTTGCAATTCTGGAGGGTGATATCCCCGCAGTTGTAGCAAGGCTATTTACAACCCCATGGTAAAACTCAAAGGTGTTGTTTGCTATGACCATGTTGTAGATACCTACAGGAGGAAGAGAATTGGAGTACATGTATTCCCCACTGCTCTATGCTCAGGCATGATTTGCGTGGAAATATTTCACAGATTTACAATTTGAAAACTTTTTAGAACTCCACTGATTGTAACATTCATGTGACATGTCAAGAAAAGCGAGAACTTTGTGAGAAATGCCAGAAAGTATTACCACCTTAATTTTACAAGGAAACAAATTAAATTTAAAACCTACAAACAAATGAGAAATCTGACTTGTTCGTGTTGAACATACGTATAATATCTGAGAAATGGAGAAGCATTCACCTGTCTCCAAAATGTCAAAGGCAAGTTCCTTGCCATTGTTGCTGTCAAAGCACGGAGACAAATCAAAGTGAGAGGGGTCCACATTAGCTGCGTCATAGTGGAAATAGTTAACAATGAAGCTCCCATTCCTCATTGTTCCATTCTTCATCTTTAAACAAAAATAAGAGTAAAACAGGACCTTGCTCAAGTCTGATTTCCTTATGAATGTTAAACTTTTGCATGAAACAGGTTCTGCTGAGTTGTAAAACAGCAACCATGCAGCTGTGAACACTGACCCTGAGCAGCTCCGAGCTCGCATAAATGAAATTAAAAATTCAAAACACTTAAGAAGTAATCATAGCTGGATGGATAGTTTTAAAAGAACAGAAGAAGAAGCTGTTTACTAGCTGAGCAGAAACGGACTTGAAATGAGTCAGAATGAAGTTTTTGCAAAACTTGACAAAACATTTTTCCAGCTGTGAAATTCATTGTCTCTATACCTTCCTGTTCTCCAGTAAATACCTATGCATGTGAGCGTGCAACAAGATTTTGGATAGGATGCTGTTGAGATTGTCATAACTAGAACCCTTAGGTAATACATGTAGATATAATACTATACCTTCAGATTCCATTCGACCTTTGACATGGTAGGCATATATGTTGACATGTTCAATCCTCCTTGAGTGTTCCAAGAATCCTGTTGGCACAAAGAAGACACCCAGAAGATTTCTTTCATCGATCTTAATTTGATCTAAATTTGAAGATATTCACAGCATCACTTGTAAGACTAACTGTAAGCATGCAAGAAGAGTTCTCTTTAAGTTGTAAGTTGACCGTATTTGCATCTTTTTTGTACAAAAAAATGTGATAACAAAACTGCATGGCATTTTCTTTCTTACCGTAGTAAAAAAAAATTCCCAAGTGCTGTTTGTTTGAAATGATGAATTGTTTCCGATCCAAGTGGGTTTCCAATCTGTCCTTTTTGCAATCCAGGATTCGGCCTGCATATCACGCAGCTCAGACTAAGGCAAGGAAAGAATTGAAAGACTCACAAGAACTTTCTCTAAAAAGTTGTCTGTGATCACTGGCGGTGGAAGCTGGGGGAGGGGACTGGCCCCCCACTTTAACGACTGGGGGGCCAGTCCCCCCCCCCCACTTTTTGCAGTCCTATATCTGGATAGGGCTAAAGGGATTGAGCCCTAAATGGCTGATGCCTGATGGTCTAACAACTGCACCCCTCCCCCATCTCAAAATCGTTCCACCGCCGGTGTCTCAGTCAGATACCAAGCGTCAGTGGAGCAAAGTGTGCATCAATGGAGAAAGACACTAATTTTTAGAGAGTGTACATATCACTACCACTAGCAAGTCGAATGTCCTCAAACTGCAACAAAGGCATGCCACACATCATGTTCTCCCATGGTCATCCTCATCTCAGTTGTGGAGGCTAGCTCAGATCCCAGCATAGCTGGACTACATAGGTTAGTGTCTACCCCCCTCTAGAGGCTGATCCTGTGATCCCTGGATCTTGTATACAGTGACTGCAGTGTAAACACGCCGTGCAGTTTAATTCTACAATACTCAGCAAAAATCCCTTCTCCCTGAAACGAAGATTGGCTTTACCCCCTGAGGCTATTCTATGAGTTTTTAACTCAGTTTTTGCCCTTTGTACTGAGTGCTATTATGTCCTAAACACAAGTAAAGAGTGACTGGAATTTGTCTTGGCCCCTCACCACTCCTTGGTATTGCCAGTCTTCTACTTCAAAGTTAAAGAAACTGGCGACACTCTTAATCTGGACATGCACATTGTCAGGGGACTCAGCATCTGGTGAATACAATGATATAGGGGTGATGTTGCAATGACCAGTGTCCATGTTGACTCGGTATGTCAATCCTGGAAGAACAAAAGGAAAACAAAGGGACTGCTTTAGCTTTTTTAATTAGAAAATAATATTCTGTGGAATCTTCACAACAACCAAATCACAATTTAATAAATAAATGAATAAAATAAATGAACTTTTTGTCACACCTTAGAGGGTTAACACAACTGGCTGTGACAAGTGTATAAAATATGTAACTTTGCCAACATCTTTATCACTATTTACTCTCTCATATTTCAATACGACACCCAGATTAGGCATGGGCAGTTCCACATCCGCAAATCACAATATTTCAGTTTTCTGTCTTCATCTGAGCACTTTGAATTTTTTCAGAGCATGAACTTAAAGTCAAGATTTACAAAAAGCAAATGGTCGATTAGATCTGTTTAGATATGCTTCACCATTTCAACAGATGGCCCAAAGTTTACAACACCCACAGATCCAAGATATTATATCTTGCTTTGTTTACATGTGCACTTTCCTATGTGAGCTCAATTGACTGGGTCCAATCTCTTTGCCATAGGAAGGCACACATCAACAAAGCAGGGCATCATGGGTCTATTGGTACATTTCTCCATATCTACTGAAAATTATTGCGACACTTTCATTTTAGTTTTCTAAGTATTTGGGACATATTCCCGCTCGGTGAAATTAACAATTACAACACCTGTATTGAAATCATCCAGAGAACGGTAGGGTGTACGCATGCTGGTACCATTATTTCTTAAACTGTAATAATACACAGCCATCCTGCCTTTGTAGTCATACACTTCCTACAAGACAACAAGTGGAGGAAAAGGTAGTTGAACACCAACAACTTGTTCATAGCTGGTTATATAAAGTTTTTTGTTAATTTCTTATTAAATTGAAAACTAAATGTCAAAGAACAAATCTGAATAAATAGTGTTGGTGATGGAACGTTGTTACCCAGGGCAAATAAAATATGCTAAGAATACAACAATGAATTTTTCTGATTTGCTGAGTTAAGTCTTTCAAGCATTTAAAGTTCAATGAAAGGCAGAGGTTCATTTCAAACAACAACAATTATTGCAATACATAGTTACTGTTCAGAGATTGATATCATTGAATCAAAAAGGGGGAAGTGTAATGCCATAAATTCCAAATTAAAACTTACTGACACATAGAAAACTCGCTTTAGAGGGGGTATCACAACCTCAAGACTTTGGAAGAAGTGGTCTGGGAGCTTTGGTAATGGCTTCAGACTTTTACGGCCTGGACACACTACCCCAAGCGGAGGCTAATTGCAAGAAAGATGCAGATCAAGTGTGAATCAGAGGTTAATGATCAGAACACACACAGGGAAAGGTTTTCAACTTGTAACCGCCAAACTACTTTAACTGGAGCCAGGGTTATGTATTCAGAAGTATCCATTTTAACTTATGACACTGCTTTAAAATTCGAAACATTTTTGGTTGTTCTTGGAATGCTGTTTCCCATTCAAAAAGGTAAAAAAGTCCCACTGTTGACTAGTCAATGGTTTCAAATCACACATTTTCAATACACAATTTATGAACTGCGCGTAGGAAGCCTCTTTCATAGAACACTGGCAAAGTAATTCCAATGGATAATACTGAATATAAACAGACTGAAGAATAGTGAAGGAATGTTTTCTTCATTTCCAACAACCAATGTTCCTGAACTTACTTCAAATGTTCGATCAGCAAACTTGGGATGAAACTGCACATCAAAGAACTCATACACATGACTGTAAGAGTGTGTGCCATTTACAGGAACAAGATGTCCATTGATGAACCTTTTGTTCGAAGCTGAAATTCAAGGGGGAAATGTGTACATTCTAGAGGGAAATTCCTCTGTTTTGTTCTTTCCTTAAAGTAAACAAACAATTTGAACAAACCACCATAATGGATTTGTTTCTGCCAATTCTACACTACCAATGTAAAACAATTTATGTACAAATTTCCATTTTGTGAAAATGACATGAAAAACATCAAGTGAATGAATCTTTAGTTTAGGGAGAGGGTTTAAGTGAACGAAAAAAACTAAATAGGTACCAATACAGAAAATACTTCGGTTCCCCAAATATTGTTTCTGCTTGAATGCAGGAAAAAATACTATCAGCAGGAAATAAAGGTTTTGAAAGTGTCATAGGAATACAGTACAGATAAATTTATACAGAGAACAACCTCTCACAATGACTACATTCCGACTGACAACAATTAAATAAATCAGCTTCATTTGCATGGCCATCTAGTGTTCTGGAATCTCTAATCAACATATGACATCAGAGGCAATATTCTGAAAAATTTGGCAAATAAAAATAGTATAAACTTGTGAGCTTCGGAAGCACTGATTTTCAAACTTTTTCTGATCTTTGAACGTGTGAAAATATGAAATTTTAGAATAAAATATACATTTTTTCACTAAGAGTATTAAAAATAAATAACCAAGTTATGTAAGCATCCAAATTCCCATGTTTTGAAATATTAATTATTCAGATCTCAGCCACGCTATGATTTATGGCAAGACATTAGTTACATTTCATACTAATATTCCTTGATTACCTGTTCCATTCAAGGCCAATCGTAGCGGTACCTGGGTGTCACCATTTGCAGTCTTGTAGCCAGGTACTGTGAAGTAGTAATCCAGGAGGGATGTTGCATTGGTTTCCTCAAAATACCAACAACTTTGCCAATGATCGGCAGGTATGCCTCGCACGTACGTGGTGCCCATGTAAGTCTCATTGTATGAGGCACCAAACCTGAAGATATCTGCGGCACTAGCAATATGGGCTGTGCCGTTCTGCAGCGTAAAGCCAAAGATGTTGAAACCTTTTGCTGTCACATTTCCAACGGTGCAACTATCACCTGCAGATGGAATAAATTTCAAACATACGTTAAAACTCGAACACCAAATTGTATTATTGTAAAGTTAACTGAGTTAAAGAAGGAAAAGCTGTTTTCAATTTGTTTTACAAAACTTACTGATTGAGCAAATGTCCTGATTGGTTCCTAAAATCTAGCAGATGTCATGAATCGATCAGCATCAATATTCTACTAACAGTAACAGATCTCACAATAGTCAATTGCATACCTAACCAGCATACTAACTTGATAACAAACTTTAGATTGACTATTTTCTTTTCCAGAGTTTCCTGGTTTTCTGTATGAGGTAAAGGAGTCATTTCAGATTTGTTGGTCACCACTAATTTTCAATCATTTCTTGTGTTATGTTTGTAATATGTATAGGTGTACTACCCTATTTATCAGTACATGTATCAGTTAATACCCAATTTTCTAATACGAGACCTTTGTGCTCTTTATTTTCTGTGGGAAAAAAAGGAAATTTAAATGGAAAATTTTATCTCGTGTTTTATTCTAATCACAAATTTATGTAATCTGTACATTTATGGACATCTTTGTATATTTTATAAGATTTATTGATGTAACCACTACACAATTCAACCTTTGGGTTGAAAGCAAGCGAGAACGCCAATAATGATTTTAATAACAGAATAATATTAATAACCAGGGTACAATTTATATATTACATATCAAGTGATATAAATATATTAGAATACTATTTCACTATAGAAGCCTATGTTAATCATTATAATATTATTACAAAATATAAAAAGTGGACCTACCAGAATAAACCCTGATAATTTCTCTGGTAGCGTAGTTGATAAATGTCTGTGAGATATTCCCATTGTAGATATTATTGACAGCACCACGATTATTAATATAATCGTAGTATTCCACTACCTCAACTGTGTTATTCCAGCCAAGAATGTTGGCTTCGACCTGTGTGTTAACAAGAATTTGGCCACAAGTTCAATAGCTTCAAAAAGACAATACAGTCTTAGATTTATTTCATGCAAAAATATAACTCTTGACTAAAATCCATCATATCAAATAAAAATTCAAGACATCAGAAAAGATGTTGCTTTCAAGATTGGGCACGCGAAAAAATAGTTAGTTTCCTCCTTGAAGGAAATGTTCACTCGGAAGGAATCACAGGCACGGAACAAACACTAAGACAAAGAAGAAAAAACACACAAGACTGCATAAACAAACAACTTCTTGCATTCATGCAAATGTTTCTAATTGCCCTTGAAAAATATCCTAAATACAACAATTTCCACTGAACGGGAACATTCCTCCCCTTCATTTCATACAAACCCTTAGCATAAACTGCTCAGGAAGAGAGGGGAGGGATGGTCCATCTCCCTCGGAAGTGTGGGGGGTGCAGACATTGGGGTCTGGTTGTGCATGTACATCTCCTGCTATCAAGCAGAAAACACTCAGGAAAACAAGCAGCATTGAAGGTGCCATTGCATTCACTGAAAACAACGTCAGAGAAAAACATAATAGGCCTAAGCAAGATATCTAAACATAAATTGCATAAACACACCTACATCTGAGCATATTTTATCCTTTAAGGTGAAAGGATTTTTGTACTATTACCAATCTGTTCCCATTATGATGAGTCCAAGCACTAGGTCTATATCTTTACATGTACATGCTTTATGCTCAAAAGTAGGCCAATATCGGGTGCTGAAATGAAAGAGCCCACAAAAAATGGTTTACGCAACAGGAGATTTCAAGGTTAAATGAGCATTCACAATTAAATCAGCATACGGCAATACCCATTCGCCAATTGTGGCGACTGATCAATGTGTTCCTACCTAGCTCTATGGATGAAACAAGGCAAACAAGAGTCATGAAAGAGTATACCACAGTCAACGCCAACAAAATCTGTATCAAGCATTGGTGCTCATGGCGCACGTAGCTCCCAATATTACATATATGTATGATGTGAATAATTTTGCCATTGGCAGCTTATTTTGGGGGATTTTTACACCCTGCAATCTTTCCAGCAATAATCAGAGCATTGGATTTGTGTATACTGCCTACATCATCCCATCACTTCCATTCAGCACATCGTTGATGCATGCCTCTATGGCCATGCCTCCATGGCCATACCTCCATGATCCCAGTGATGGATTCGATGCAAAGCTATGCAAAAGGAAAGGGTAGCTTAGCTACGCCTTATGACATTGTTCCCAGAAAGTACAGACCAACAAAACTCTGGAAGTGGGACACATTTTGAAGACAACACTTCTCATCGTGAATTCGGTCAACTTACCTCGCAACTGCGTAACTGGGTTCCAAAGATGCCGATTCTCCGGGACTGACCTACATGTACACTGAAGAGCGGTCTATCAACAAGCCAGTCACGAGTTTTGCGCGTACCGGTCTTTTTTATTCCACCTGCTCTGAATAACAATGGGATTTGTTGCGCTATCTTCGGTTCCAGACATAACCGGGTGCGTAGTGAAAGTTACATAATAACTTCTCATAGAGCAAGAAAACACTCGTTCGTTATATTTACAACATGCGAGTATACTTCGTAATGACCTAATCCATGCCTAAACCAGATAGAATAGGAACGAAAACTGAAGGATCGTTGGGGAATAATCCAAAACAAATAACTTGGTACAAATAAGGCTGAAAAATAGGGAAAAACACGAGTCCAAACAACACGGTAACGAAAACATTTCCATTTGTATAAATAATAATTTATTCCAATTGAGAGAACAAATTATTAACCTCAGTTACAAATTGCAGTGTGAGACAAAGTATATACAACATAGTAAAGAAAAATTCAAAAAGGCACTTTTACAAAATATAAACCATGTTCTACTTTCAAAATGCTTTACACAGCACAACAATGGTAAGTTGAAACACTAAACACTCATAGGTAAAAAATACACAAAATTAACACTTTGGACGTAGACAGTGCAATTCTAAAAGCATCCAAATTCTTTAACATAAAAATGCCTTCAAAGGTTTCTAAAAATTTGTTTTACACATACAAATTTCTCAGTAAAACAGGTTACATCTCCAAAAGAAACAGTGATGTATATTTTAGGTAGCATAAAACAGAGGGAATGAAACAACATGCTAATTAGCTAACAATATTTTTGCCAATTATATTACTGTCAATGTTGATTTTGTAAATTTAGTTATATTAAGCAAAACTCTGATAAATGGATAAATCTGTCCTTACAGTGAAGTTACGGCAATGAAAGAAAAAATCTATTTGAAATCTCTCTTATTGTTTAAGCTGAAAAAAATTGACTCCATATTTTTAACTTCAGTACTTTCAAAAGGTTTTTTGTGTAAATGTTCATCATTAAAAAGACACATTACTATAAAAAAAAAGCAATTTCAACATCCTTTGAATGGTTTCATTGTGCTTACAAATAATTATAACATTAAATGTTTCATATCTTAGTTTTGGGTAAAAATTTCTTGCCACGCTGCCTGCTACATACATAAGTACATGTAGTCATACCATGCTTTGTTTAAATACATATTCGTATCAAGTGAAAAAAAAATTATGAAAATTTGAAAAAAGAAATGTCCTCGTGGCTGCAACAAATATCTTCATTTTCTGTCCTTTTCTTTTCTCCTTTTTTCTATCTCATTTTCCTTCAAATAAAACAGCAAGAAATAGGGGGAAAGGGAAATTTTAGCATAATCTAGAGTGTGAAGAGACTGCAAAATGTAGCAACATTTCAGCTCCTATGAAACTTTGGGGTAAAAGTAGTAAGAAAATTCAGATGGTCTTTTTCTGATATGAGACAAAACATACTAGAAGCAATCAAATCCCTAATAATAATGACCAAATATGCCTGCTACACAACAGTCCATCATCTGATGCTGACTCTCATGCAGGCTTTTGGGGTAAAAACAGCAACAACAAAACTTTCTGGTGCAAATGATAAAATAAATTCATCTAGCTTGCAAAACTCACAAACATTACTTGTCATAACAAGGGACACTGTGTTGCTGTGTTTATACTGATGAACTTCATATGCATCAGATTGGCAAATTATAAGGCCATGTAACATTTGTTTGTAGGCTCAAATCCCTCAGAAGGGAAAATTTAATATCATATAAATCTGACATCTGATATATGGTACCAAAGTCAAAGGAGAGCACAACAAGCATGAAAGCTACTAAACTTTTAAGTACCAGTCAGCTACTTCGCCTAGAGTTTGTGTCCGGAATTTGGAAAGGGTATAAATGAACCTCCAAGTTAGCTAACCAGGTTTACAGTATGCTACAAGAACAATAAAGTTCAGATAAGAGAAGACTGAATGACCGTTTGCCATCATTTACAACACTTGGCACAATATACTAAGCTAATATGGGAGATGTCATCATTGTAAGTTGGAAGCCATAACAGCTATAGTGCACTTTGGGCATGCATCATCACATCAAAAGCTATTTTTGAGTTGTGCACACAAAACATTTCACTATTTGCACGAAGTCAATGTGACTGTGGTGTCTGCAGATTTGGAGAGGAAGTCCTCTGGAAAATACATCTTGGGGAGGAAAAAATACACCTTAACAAATATAAATGATAGCAAAAAGTTGGGGCTGGTGTGAAATTAGGGGCAGAGGGGTGGTGTGAACCTATAAATTGATTTTAAATGGCCTAAATACATACCAAGCAGTGAAAAAAGGCAACAAAATACACAAACAAAGAGCTGATTTAAACAGAAATATGCATTGCAAAAAACATTTTGTATTCCATCCGGGGCCACAAAATTCTGCCCTTACTGAAAGCAACTCAATTTATCTAAATTATGCAAAAAAGAATAAAAGTATGTCTTCATCCGTAAGGCGAGGTAGTCATTTGTATGACGTGACTCATGAGTTTCATTACAACAGTGAGACAGTAGACAAGACACAGTGCTAACAATGAACAGCATATCAAACACCAGAGAAAGTTTAGGCAGCAACCTGCCTCCTGGGCCCAATTTCACGGTGCTGCTTAGCACACAATGTCACGTTAACAGAGGCTCCACGTATTTCATGGAGACAGTAAGCTGTAAGCACAGCCAAAGGCATGCTAACCTTGGGGGAAAATTTGCTTGAACTTAGTGACGTAACAATAGAAATCTCTATGCGCGTGCAACCCTTAGCACAACCATGCCAAGCACTGCCATGAAACGGTGCTTAAGGTTAGCAAATGTTTCTACTAAAATTAGCACGACTTTTTAACAGAAGTGTTAAGCAGTGCCGTTAAATTGGGCCCCGATAAAATACGTCATATCCACTGTTTTCATGCTTGGCAAGGCAGCATCAGTAATGTGCACAGCTTGATATTGCATCTCCACATGTCCATTCATCTCATGAAGGTTACTCATCTGCAATGGATCTTTCCATTCCATGTGCTTGGAGTGTAAAACCACACAGCCATGGATATGCCATCTCCAGGATCTGAAAGCCTGATGAACCATCATCCGTGATAGCACAACAGGGTTGGAAGTATAAGACACTCAATCCTCATGAATCCATATGCGGCGGCTTTATCAGCTGTACATCACTGAAGAAAGGATGGCTCAAGGCTGCCTTTGCCGATATTCTATTGTCAGGATTGTAACACAGCATTTTCTGTTGGATTGAAATGAACAGGCAATGTCAATAGCCATGCAGAATAACATCAGATATTATGCCCATTCAAGACACTACACACAAAATATGATCATGGACGAGAAATGAAACAAGGCCTTTTTACTTTAATGTTTTAACCTCAATGGATTTGACGTCCCAGGAGAAAATGTGAATATTGTTTACTGAAAGACACTTCAATGCCACTTTTTGTGTGCCCGTACGTTTCCTCTCTGATACAAAGGCTGTGAGACTGTGCTCATTCAACTGAAAACTGTTCGTATTGATTCTATGCAATTTACATGAGAGCTACAAAGAGTACACAAGGATGCCATTTGTCATGGAGGCCAGCACCTCTCTGTCCAAAACTTTAATGACCTCTTCTTAACTTCTTTTTCAATCCCTAAGCATGCCAACAGACTCTCAGTTTGTTTGTGCAATGTTGTGACAGAACGTATGTGATGACTGTTTTAACAAAATTGTCATCATTATGAAATATCAGGCTGTGAAATCAAAACAAATTATGCGATAAAACCATCCAGAAAAATTGCAAAGCATTGTTAACATCAACACAGCAGCAGTAACTACAACATTCACTTCATAAGCAACACCTTGACAACAGCTTTTTGGAAGTCTTGCAAACCACACACACCTGCAATAGATCTGTGCCTTCGCTGTTAAGACTGGGAACAACTTTAATCAAGTCTTGTTTTCTCCACTTGGGAAATGTCGACTTGTAGTCTGGAAGTTTGGTGACACCAGGCCACATTGTTTCTTCTGGTGTGCCAAGAGTACGAAAGATGCGGAAGAGTTGGTCAATCTCTGAATCACCAGGGAACAATGCTCTTCTCGTGATCTGTGAAAAAATAAAATTAATGAAATATTATAAAGACGGCAGGAAGTGGATAAGAATATGATAGGCATATTTGACAATAATTTTTCAAAAAGCAGAGGGAAAGGTTTTGTTTTTCTCAACATTAACTTCTCATCTTTGGTACTTTCACAGGCAATACCATTTGCAATTATCAAGGTAAAATGTACGAAGACATTGTCAAGGCATACCATTTCAACAAATATGCAGCCTATGCTCCAAACATCAACTGCTGGAAGATAAAACCTACAGCCTAAAAGAATCTCTGGTGCTCTATACCACAACGTGACAACCTGCAAAATAAAAAGCAAAAGAAATCATAGAGGACATAAGACTTCAGAAAATCAAATGAAAACTATTTGGTCAAGTTTTCTATGAGAAAGTGATTAACACAGCATCTCTTGAAACTCCTCACCTATTTCATAGTTTCTGAGGTACTAGATAAGACTTGAAGCTATGCATGGTGGCAGTACTGAATTAGGTTAGGCTTGCGGTTGCAACGTGTACAAGAAAATATCTCTTTTATGAGAGTGTGGTTCTAAGAAGAGCCGATGGTGAACACTCGACATTCCAAACAGTATGCTCGGTTCATCTTTAGGAGGGTGAAGTGCTTTTTCTATGCTTTAAAGCAATAAGTCAAAAAGATTCCACCTTAAACCCAAAGGAAATTGAAATCATGGTCATTTTAGTCTTGCACCTCTTCTTCTTATTAATTCAGAAGTAAAAATGCTTAATATATCCTAAATCTACTCCAGTGTGGGTAACAGACTACTATCTTGAGAGTCTGAGTAGCTGCACCTACCTCATGTGTGTATGTCCTAAGTGGTACCCCAAATGCTCTAGCGAGGCCAAAGTCAGCCAATTTGATGTTACCGTGCTTGTCAATGAGAAGATTCTGAGGTTTTAGATCCCTATGGATCACTCTGTGTGAATGACAATAAGCTACTCCCTTCAGAAGCTGGTGGAGATAACTCTGCAAATCAAACACATTGGGAATCGGGAAAAGATTTTATCGAAAAGTTTAAGAATTAATTCATAAATTTATGTTGTGATACCGATCAATCTGTAAAAAGAAAGAAAAATTCCAAGGAACACTTTCATTAACATTTTGTCTAGCAATTGGTTTGAAGGACATGAATCCATGATCTTTGAATTTGATGAAATGAATACTGATGAAAGAGAAAGTGGTCTTGTACCTTTATGAGCGGCATGGGTAAGCCTAATGTTGAGCTGTCCATGAACTTCTTTAAGTCTTGATCAAGAAACTCAAACACAAGGTATAGTTTCCTGTCATTGTGAACTACGTCCTGTAGTCTTAAGGAAAAAAGAGTAAGAAACTGTGTCACTTGTCTACATATTGCTGCTTCCTAACTTAAATTTAACATACGAAGACATTAGTTCTTTATAAACGTTAATGAAAATATGCACTGAAAAGGAGAATTCAAAGAATGAAATATGAAAAATAATTAAATATGCGCAACCTACTCGTAGTGATCGCAATAAATTATTACCTGACAACATTTGTATGATCAAGTTCTTTCAAGAGTGCAATTTCCCGAATAGCTGTACTTGGAACTCCCTCAGATTCCCTGCATTCATCCAATGCAAAATCAAACCACAATTTAATAGATGAAATGTACATAAATGCAATCTTAAGTGTCCGTAGAAAAATTCTTGCCCGTACAGACACTTTAAATTCATCCCACAGGAAAGTAATCTCTTGCAGTGATGTGACATGGCCACGTATTTGCAACCGGTGTACTTTGACTTATGGTAGACTACAGTTCAATGACCCCCGACCTAATGCTAATGTCAGCTCTAAGAAGTAAGATTAAGGCATGGCCCGTATTTCAAGTGATTTTTGCAAAGAGTTCCATTTACGGACAACTCTTGATGCCCCTGTGCACAAACCTACGAGTCTTGTCTGAATAAGTGTTTTGTAATTAAATGCTTCAGAATTTTCTCACTAAATTTCACTTTTTAGGACATGTTATCACTTTCTGACGGCTGTTGTAACATTTTAAGGGAAAATTAATGTCGTTTATACATGGAACGCTTTCCTGATGTTTACTGCTGTTGTAGGCCCTATGTACACAGAACAATTAATATCTGAAAAAAATGGTAATATGAAGATCAATAATTCACAGACATTTAATGTAGTCCCTGGAAAAATGCACCCTATACATGTAGTACAGTGCAGTTTGCATGCTGGTAGAAATTAAGCTGACAAAATGCTGCTGATGACAGCTGCTACAAATTGAAAGTTATTGGACCAACCCCAGAACTGTGTGGTTTGTCATCCACCGTTATGGACGCTGAATGACACAGCTCAGTTCTCACAAGGTTATTTAATTGAACACGGAAAGAGTTCTATGTACATGAACATCACTTGACATTCCAGTGCACAAACCCTATGAGAATGAGCTGACAAATGTTCAATTTCTATGTAGGCCTAAATACTTTGATATTTTCCCTGCTAAGTTTGATTCATTAGGGACATGTTATCATATTAAGATGCCAGAAAAATCAGTGATATCCCCATATGGTCTCTTTCCATTGTGCTATTTATTATTATTATTGATTCATTAACTCATGTGTAATGGCTTCTGGCCAAATAGAACATGATATCCAATAAAATATTTAAAAATTAATTGCCTATAATAATGGAGTTGACATCTCAAAGTTGAGGCTACGTGCTGAACTCCAACTTTCCAAGTGACTTGGACTGAGTTCTGTAACTATGTTGAGGCATAACATTTCATCTACGGTAGAACAAACCTAGAACCTTCTAACGTCTTAAGAAATTCGGCGCAGGATCATGATATTATTATAGTTGGGACAGATGCTATAGTATAGTTCATTACATTAGTTTGGGTGTAACAGTACGATTGTGAAGGCCTAAAATACCAATCATTGAAACCCCAACCCGAGCCCCATGCCAAGGGCCACAGTCATGTAGGCATGTATGATGTAATGCCTGCATGGCCTGGCGGGCCTATGCGAAAAAAAGTGCTTGCTCTAGCTGCCCCATGAAAAGAACCAATTGAAGAGCACAATGGAAATAGGCCTTAGCTATTTCTAGCTTATTTGTGCTATCCTCGACAATGCCCTGGGTTTATATGTAGGCTAGTTCCGTTTATTTTGTTTGAGTTGATTCAAATGTTCGTGCGTGTTCATTTGTAATCTGTACGGGTGTTGTCAAATAAAAAAAATTAAAAAAAACAGAAATAGGCCTAGGCTTATGCATTGCAATAAAACAGACTCACGTATCTAGTCTAATTTTCTTCAGCGCAACCATTTTCCCTGATTCTCGGTCTCTCGCTTTGTAAACCACTCCATACGTTCCTTCCCCGATCTTCTCAATCTTCTGAAAATTATCCATATTAACACGTGGCCAACTTTGCGACTTCATGGGAACTATGGCTCGGTGGAGGTTTCATTTTCTGTGACCATGATGACCCTTTGTCAGTTTGTTCAACTTTGCTACGTGTATATGTTCGTATGTTTATGTGTGGGCATTTTGTTTACAATCTCTACCGGTCAGCTGGCATTTTTGCCAACTTTCGCGGGAGTTTAATCACATGCCCTGTGTTCACTAACGTGATTGGTGGTTTGGTTTTGCCGCCGATGTCGTTTGGCAGAATGCGATTGGTCAGTAGTTTCACGTTAAAATAATTTTTGAGGATACACAATTTTCACGAATTTCCATTCAGGTAATAAGGAGAATATTTTATTCAAAATTAAATTTTTATTGATATGGCCCATAAAGTTGAATTTTATAATGATCATTTCTATTTTCAGAAAGGAAAGAACAAATAAGATTTCCCACAATTCATTGTAACTGTCCAATATGGCGACCGTTGGATCGATGCAAGAGGAAGCGATTCGGAGAAAAGAACGTTTAAAAGCACTAAGACAGAAACAGAAACCTGAACTGGAGGTACTGGACATATTTTTGTGACTTTCTTGACTTCTAGTGTGACTTTCTGAGTTAAATAGATTTTGCAAGAATGATTTCGGGCTTTAATATCTGCGTGTTTTGCTCTTGAGTCGATATGATGTCAACAGAGGGCGCCTGGCATTTTTACTGATGATAGCATGCATATCAAGCTGCATATGATTTGCAGCTTGGCAATACCATGATTATTGTGTTGAATTTGCTTTTCACATAAACTTTCGCAAAGAATGTTGCATTCCAACTGCACTTCAGCTTTTGTGTTCAAAAGTCTTTGGAGAGTCACTGCAGTTGTCTGCCAATTTCCTAACAGCCATGTCGTGGTGACAATTGGACATGCTGGAGTGGAGATAGAGATCCAGATATTGACATGACAGACGTCATTATGCTAACTTTCCCATGCAGTACTTTATCAGCCATCAGAGAGTGATAAGATTTCCTAAAAAGTCTAATTTAGCTCTGAAAATGTTCGTCTGTTTCCTTAGAAAACACTTTGAATTTTGCAGACAGTCTCATCGGGTTTGTGTACAGGGTGTCAAATAATGTCCGGATATGGATTTCTTCCCAATTTGAATCTTGGTTCCAGATTCATGTCTTTTCAGCATTCTATAACAGGCTATGCATGAGTGACCTTTGAGATGATATATGATGAAAAATGTGGAGGCAAGATGCAACGGTCGTTCTTTTTATTCTGCATATATTCATCTGTTGAAGCCAAAGAAATAACAACTCAGGGATGACAGTTTTCAGGCAGAAATCTGGTTTCAGGCTTTTTCATTCAAATTGTTGGACTTTTTTCAGACCAGAATGAGGTATGATCAGGCTTCTCTGGCCATAATTGTTATTCTCTGAATAAGAACACAACTGGTATCCCTAACAACTTGATCCTCCGTTTCCTCAATAAAGCAACTTCTATTCTTGCCATTGTCCTGACAAGTTACATGTTCCTGGTCATGACTGTTAACATGCATACATTATCTTCATACGTTTGTTGTTTCACAATTCTTTTTGAATTTGAAAGGATACAGAGAATACAGAGCCACCAACAAAGAAGCCTCTAACAGATGAAAACGTCACCGAAGAAAGGTACAAAAGCCAGATAAATAGATTTAGGAAAAAGAATTGGTTTGAAAGAAAGGTTTGTACACAGGGCGTCAAGCAGAGTTAGTATAAGGAACCCTGCTTGATGCCCTTTGCATAAACCTTATGAGACTGATATGAAGAGTTTTAAGTCGTCTGTGTGAATACCTTCATATTTGGAATTATTTTCACTGCTAAGTTTGACTTTTTATGACATGTTATTACTTTCAGAAGGATTACAGGTCTTTGCAGGGACAAATTAGTGGTGTTTGTATATCAAATTCTTTCCTAGGATTTTTCTCTCGAGCTATAGAAGTCTTGGTGTACAAAACTTGAAACTATTAGGTGCACTTTAATATATGTATTCAACTGAGGTTAACCGTATATCTACCAGATGTCCACACCCATTCAAGGAATTTGTTGGAAATTGAATCAGGGATCATTAGTGTCTCTTAATGTTTGTTTTTCTTGCCTAATTTTTGATCAGGCACAATATGCAATCAGGTTACTACAAAGAGCTAAATTGTAAGATTTTAGAAAGATCCTGGTTAAAAATAAATATGGGTCACGGTGTTAGAGTTGACCTTTAAGAAGAGTAGTCTCGGGAATGTCTGTAATGTAGTAGAATTAATTAAAGAAGATAAGGATTTTTAATGACACAATCCAACTTCATGTTCTTCACATGCAGTAAGGCAGTCTTTAAGAACTATAATCCAGCTGATGACACATTGAAGGAGAAGGTTTTACCCAAAGCAAGTCTACCATCAGGTCAGTCTGAAAATCAATTTGACACCTGTTGCATATCAGCTTACAGTATTTCAGGGTATCACCACGCCACTGACCAACAGAGATCACTGTCAATTAAACAGATGACACTTTACAAAGGTCAATATTTATAGGGATGTCTATCCTATTTAGTGGGGCTGTGTGAGCAGCTTTGCCACAAAAGAACAAAATGGAGTGTTAAATTCCTCCCCCCCTGAAAATCTGTAGGTTTGCCAGTTGGCCTTGAATGACCTCAAGCTAGAAAATATGTAAGAAGTTCTACATTGTCTCAGATGGTTTATGTGCTTCTCTGTTACAGTTGAGGAGCACATCAAGGACCAGTTAGAGGCAGCTAAGCCTGTTCCTGTAGTAGAGGAAGTTGACCTGGTTAACCTTGCCCCCAGAAAGCCTGACTGGTAAGGTCCCTGTTGCCCTGATCCAGCAAAGTGTGTAGGCATGACGGATAAACATGAAGTGACAACAAATATAAGTGGTAAAAAGGCAGTTCTTTGGAAATTGTACCATTGCAACAAACAAAATCCTCAGTTCCAGCAGCGCTAATGAATGAGTCAAGTGCCATCATATTTTGGCTGAGGAATTGTACCTAGTTCAATTAAAATGGGGTCATCCATTACTTTGGAGAACAGACATACTTCTTGAATCAAATCGATCTAGTAAGAATCATTATCTTCTTGAACAGGGATTTGAAAAGGGACATTACCCCCAAATTGGAAAAGCTTGAGAGGAGGACACAGAGAGCCATAGCAGAACTTATCAGTGAGTACAAGTCATTTTCACAGCTTCCACAGCTGTCAGAATTTTGTTGTGGCATTTTGTATCAAATTATAGTCTTCCTTCGTTATTGGAAGCTTTTTTGTAACTGATGTCCGCTTAAGATGCTCCAGACCAAAAAGGACACACTGCCAATAATATATCTTTCTGGTAGTCTTCTACCAAAAAATAAATTAGGTTTCAGCAGCTATTTGACAAGTTCTCTAATATCATTTCTACGACAACAAAAATTAACCGTAACAGTCCTGAATCCTCCAATATTAATATGATTTTGCACACACCCAAGGGAGTTAGGGTTAATGAATTATATCTGCCATGCATAATGTCCAATTCTTTTAATCTGCTTGAATCGTGTTGTGACCTCTTGTATTCTTTACAGGAGAAAGAATACAATCTGGCATGGCTTCAGATCTCATGACTGCAGTCAGTGCACAGCAACCACCCACAGAACCACGAGGAGATGACTCAGATGACGATTAAACAACGAGGCTGTTCATTGGTCAACTCGGCAACTGTGTGTGCAGGAAAGCCAATGAGCTAGAGGCTTTCTTTGACTGTGAAAGTGTATGTTTACTTGTTGGTGGAAAGCAGAGCCTCATTTGCATCTGGTAAGACAGTCAGAAGTCAAGTACATTTGAGGTGAGACCATTCTTCCAATGTACAAATTTACTGCAGTAACATGGCTTCTTGAAGTACCAAACTGAAGCAAGCTCCAAACCTCTGCACCAATTTGAACCACTGAAGACAGTACTTGGAGAGAACAAATCCTGCAAATATCTAGGACGGGATTGGTCTTTTATAAGCTGTGTTCCTGTTGAATGTTGAGAACTTAGACCTTGACCCTTTAATGTCTTGAACATGCATTATAAACTCTAAGTATCTTATATCTGGAGATGAACTGTGCACAGGGTCTACAGTACTGAGAACAGCAGGTTTTAATGGTTTTTATGGGAATGTAGGCAAATGATGGATAGATATGATGTTGGAATTAGGTCCAACCTCTTGACTCATCATGATAACATTACATCCTGCAAACAAGCAGCCATCGACGTAACTACTGGCACCTCAAGTATTTTCTGACCTTAACCTTGACTGCCTAGGCTCTGTCACCAGGTTTCTACTGATCCCACCCAAATTTAACTGTCCACAGAAAACTAGTGGTACTTTTTATATACTTCCAACTGATTGGATCATCACACATACCCATGCAGAGGGGCTAGGTCCTTCAGCCATTCATTGTCTAAACACTACAAACTAAGTCTTGAATTTTGATGATTGTAGCTAATGAAAGTTGTTGTCCGTTATCATCCATAAGACGAAGGAAGAGCAAAGAAAGGCACAGCTTGATTCTGTCGTACATCAAAGGCATTTTGGACCAAGAAAATCTAAGCAATGGACAAGCTTACACAGTATGGTTTAAGGGTTTAGAAAAGTCTTCATAAAAAAAATCACCACATTGTTTAGAATCCACAGCACGCATGATATATTTATTCATTGTGGTTGTACTTTACACTTCTTTTTAACAAAATATTCCTTTTTCTCTCTGCTTTTTTCTTCACATAAAATTATCAAACAATATTTCCGTAAATAAAGCTCCCAACGCATTTGTATATAGTGTATATACATCGCAAATGTGTCTTCTTTTGAATGGTGTTCTTTTTTGTTACAGATTTCAGTTTTTCATTCATGTGAAAATTTGAAGAGTCAGTCCATCCCAATTATGAGGCCTATCATCTGGGTTGTCGTTGAAATCAGAAAAATGTAACACAGGGAAAGTAATTTTCCCTAAGAAAGATAGACTGTGCTTCAAAGAGACATTGTACTAAAATAATTAGCAAATAAACAGGATACCAATTTTAAAACGAGGCCAGTTTTTTTGGGGGGGAGGGGCTGCAAATACCATCCTTGCCCTTATCCCTTGCAGTAGTCATATGAGAAAAGCACCATTTTCAAACATCTGTCGATCCTTGCTTTCATTTGTTAATGCTCCAGCTCATGGTCTGTCCTAAATACTTAACGATTTGTCACTGCAAACATAAGCAGATAGACCAACTGTCATACAATCTCAAGACAATTCCTATTTCTCTCCTTCAAGTATCCATTATAGCGATGATGCCAAATTCATCTTCGTAGCCCTGACTCATCCTCAGCGTGAGTAGGCCCTGTACTTACAAGCATTATCCCCATTAGTGATGTTAAGGGTCTTTCTGTCAGACAAAGCCAATTATGATTTGGCCAGTGCTCGCCATGAAAGACTTCCTGTGTAGGTTGGTTTTGTGAGTTTATCAATCTCTGGCATTTTGTATGTCTTTGTTGGGGAGGGAGTCGCCCTTGCTGTGCGTGTTCTTTGTGGTTTTTGAGGGCTTGCTGTTGTGACACGGACAGAACAGTGCTCAGTGACAAAAGCCGAGAGGCGTTCACTTCGGGCGTCGTGACGTGTTGTCGTAGGACGACTACGTGGTTGTTGGCAAGACACTGGCCGGCTGGTAGAATAACTGGTCCTAGATATTTCACCATCTGAGAAACAGAAAATAAAACACATGAGCTGATTGGTATATGACTTTAATAGCCCTATTCATGCTTTGTTCCACCGTTCTTTTTGATGTTCGAAAGGTTTCCAATCCAAAGTCCCTAACTGCAGCACAGACTTTACTCCCACTTCACCACTGGTGAACACAAGTTACCAGACATATTCTTCCAGGATACTGGCCAGAGGCAAAAGACTCATTGGAAATTGGTCTGCATCATTTTTTTTTGTAGGGTGTCCATCGTCAAAGCGTGCCCATAACGCAAGTTTGAAGGAAATACACTCATCGTTTTCTTAAGCAAGCTATGGAACACCTGCTACAGTTATGTACAAGTGCAGCTGGCTGGGAATAATTCAATCACACCAGTCCATTCTTTACAAGCCCTCTACCCCATTACCCACCTCTGCTCTTACTTCTTGGCGAGCTCTTTTCATCCACCCAAGTATTTGTTATGCTGGAAATCTTTGGCATGATGTTGCTGGCAAAGCTACTGCCCAGACTGACTCCTCGCCACCTCTGATTTGGATGATTTGGCTCAGGAGTTCGTCCTAGAGTGGAGCGCAAGTCCCTAGCAAAGGTGTTTGGCGCACTCTGCGCGAAGGCATCATCCATCACGTCATGCACCACGTCATTCTTGAAGTTGGTCCAGCGGTTTTGCTTCTTGAAGCTTGTCCAGAGGAAGTGGTCACTTGGATAGGTAGGGATGAGCTCCTTGACCCGATCTAGTGTCTCCTCACAGGCGTGCTCATGGAATTTGGATATGGAGACACGAACTAACTCACAGCCAAGACTCAAGAGGGAGAACTGGGGCATCTCTCCTGAGATTCCTTCCAGACCCTTGAAAGGCAACAACATCAAGGCTATTAATTTCACTTAAAGTTTCAACATATACCTCTGGTAAGTTGTCCTAAGGGGGTGTCCCAAAAATAAAAATGTCCTTCTCCTGTTTGCTTGCCCCCTTTGAAGCAAAGTTGTATCCCAAGCATGTACCAAGCAGAAATGGGATTATTCCATTATCTAGTTTACCTGCTGGTGACATAAGTTACCCCCCCCCACACACACACACACTAGTGTGTACCCATATGTTTTGTACATAGTTGTCAATCGGGGACCCTCTGTCAATCATGGACCTTATTGTCCTCTATTGTTCAATTTAGTCCAATTGAATGCAGAAACAAATTCACACTCACACAAAAATAGGAAGCACTATAGGACATGGAAGACGTTGATGCACCCTTTTAAGGCACTCATCAGAGACATACTTACAAAACACTGTCCTGGCCTGAGTGAATCCACCCTGATGTACACTCCAGCCTCTACACCATCACCTTTCATAGTAGCAATGCCCAGACTGATATGACTTGGAAGTTTATGAGGAGTACCGGGATCAGAGGATCTACCAAAGGAGACAACAGGTTGGTTCAGAGTGGGATTTGGATGCAAAGGAGTCCACTGACCAAGATCCAGTTGTAGCTCTTGTTACCAGTTTACATTTGAGGATGCACACTCAAGTCAAAGACCATTTTCTACATCTCAGTTTTTCAGTCTCCAAAATCATTTCCAGATGTGTACCGTTTGAACTCAATGTAAATGTTCCAAATGCTTGTCTCACAGTAGACAATTTTGCATTTCTAGTGCAGAATATAGTAGTTGCGTTGAATCAGATGCCCTTATCTTGGGGAGTGATGCACAAAACGTAACAAGCGTGAAGCCAAAGCCTGACACAAGTCTAAAAATATCCCTAATGAACAAGAACCAAGTACGCTTCGTAAGGATGGGCAGGATTCAGTCTAAAAGTGAGATCTTACAAATACCAGGACTATTCTGTATAATTTATCGGCTGGGGGGTTGAATCCAGAATTCATGGTAACTCAGTTTGGAGATCACTAGGTGCAGCTTTACCTGCGTTTGTGCATAGACAAGCCACTGGTCATGGTTGATCTGGAGTATGACTCGGATGGAATGTCCAAGTCTGACACATCCTCGGTGTACCTCACACCAGCACTCTTGCTCCGTCTCTGATTTAGCTCACCTTCGACTGCAATCTTTTCCTTGGACTTGCAATTTATCTGACCTGTTTGGATTAAATTAAAGACTTACCAGACCCATTTGGATTTTAAACAGGAGAGAGAAACATGGGTGTCTTTTCTATACAGATAACTACAAGAGAAACCATGCAATCCCAGACAGTATCTAAGGTTTGTTGTCACCGACAGTGTTTATTTTACAACGTCCACTGTTTGTAAAAGAGCAGCACTCATCACTTTGATCCTCTTCAGTCCATCCCTGAAAGAGACTTGGGAATTTAACAGGCTGTTTGTACATCCAGGACTCCAAATCCCATCCCCTCCCCATGTGCCATCTTGAAGGTGACCCTGGAGGAGCCTCAGAGTTAAGGAACTGCTTAGAGTCCAAATCTCAAGCATCAGTCAAGTGATGAGAGCAGATCACAATTCAAAGTCATGATGGCAAAATAATGTGTTTCCCAAAGGAGCAGCTATAAAAGACCATTTTTAAAGAGATGGCCAATGTTTAAAAACCTAGTTTTCATAAATTGATTGGAAGTGTACAAATTTAAAGATACTTTTCATTTAATGTATGAAAGCTTTGAAGAAGTACTCTTGAAACAGACTTCCTAACCTTTTATTTTATTTTATTTTATTTTATTTTTGGGGGGGTTATGGGTCTCTCCTCTCATACAAACCCTGGCAGACAAAGTTCCATGTACCTGTTGTTTTAGGCCTAGTATTGACAGGCAGTTTGTGGGGTGTCAGCCAGGGGAAGGGGGTCCTATGACCCTCTGGGAGCAGACTCAGTGGATAGTCCCCACTCAGCAGTGAGGTCCCCCCATGCTTCTTCTGACCCTGTGGGTCGTCCTCATTCCTAGCTACAGACACCTTGGCAAGGTCCACCAACTTGAGCACATCACAGCGACCCTGTTAGAATGGGAAGAGGGAGTAAGTGAGTGCAGTCTTAAGACAAAGAATGACCCATGGCTTATACTTGTTCCAGAGTTGTAGGGACAAACACTCGTCATTACATCACTTTTGTGGGGACCAAAAACATTGTGGGGTAGGGCTGAGTCAATTCGAATAATTCACTATTCAAATATTCGACTCTAATTCGATCAAATATCCAAATATTTGGTTGGACCGACGGGCAGATTGTTGATGAACAAAGCATATACAAAATGATTTGCAATAATGCACACAATTGTATATTGTAATCACTGTAATAGCTTCACATGTCTAGGAGTATCTCTAGCCATGATTTAGCAAGATTTAGAGACAAACAACACGTTTTGTCTTTTAAAAATTTTAATAATAAATAATTAACTTTTTAAACAAAAGAAAATTCTCCCTTCATTTTTCATGAATTTTGCATTCGAATAATTGAATTCGGTAAATAATATTCAAATATTCGATACTCGATCGAATTTCCGAATATTGTAATATTCAGCATAGCTCTATTGTGGGGACAGAGAAATGAATTTGCCTAATAACAGAATCCTGCAAAGGTGAAATTCTGCTCTCCTGAATCACCAAATACTCATTTAAAAGTAGTTGCAAACCCAATACTATCCCTGAGCTTGAGAAAAGAATTGCCAGTAAATTTCAGAGCCCAACTAACTTCCCGTCACCACCACCCTTTTGCTTAAAATCCATAAAATGTTACCTTGGTGACAAAGAGAAGCCAGTGTAATTCCCTGGAATCCTTGACGATGACAGAGTCATGATTGTACTCCTCAATGCGCGCCATGTCACTCACTTCCTCCAATTTGTCATCAGGCCAGCTAGAAAATAACTCCAACCTCCTGTGTACAGTGAGGTGTTGGATAAAAAACTTGGCCATCAAAAACGCTGCCTTGGCAATGATTACCCTTATTTGTAAACCTCTGTTCTTGTAATATATATCAAAATCAAAGAAACTTTCACTTCTATTTCACTTCAGCAAAGTTCAAACTACACTTCCAATTTCATTGTGAATTAGAGCCATGATACTAATACAAGACCAACATTTTTAGTTTGAAAATTTACACCTCTATCTGGATACCTTGAAAAATAAGTTTGGCGTTGTTAGAATTTGCAATCTGCAAATCAGAGTGAATAGAAAGAATCAATATGTATCACTCTAAATGTCACTAGCTGGAACAGATGACACCTTCGGTGCCTTCGAAGACTTTTTCACAGGGCAAGACAACCTTGTGTCTGAAATTAACAATCGATCATTACCACTTCATCAGCTGGTTGGCCTTTTCATCACAGTCAGTGGAGTGTTTGCTGTTAAATTATTCAACTGTTTATGCCAACTGTCTATTGAGTGCAGCAGCAATTCTACATGTCAATATTTGAGTGTACATTCAAAAAGCAAACAAGCAAATTTGGTTCATTTTACTCAAAGGAGATGGCATTGTTATCACCAACTCCTAAGAGTTTACGTTCAAAAAGCAAACAAGCAAATTTGGTTCATTTTACTCAAAGGAGATGGCATTGTTATCACCAACTCCTAAGAGTTTACGAAAATCATAGTAGAATTAGAGGATTTAAGACTGCTAGGATTAAAATATAGTGTTAAGAGAGGATTTCAGCTTCTGATGATAAAAATAAAAACCCAAATACCGTTGTAGCTATCTCAAATTGGGCTTGTTTTTCTTGACAATTGACATTTCCTGCCACTTTGTTGGTACTCTTTGATGAATCACAAGTTATTTAGAATTGCCTTAAATTTAAAAAAAAAAGGTTTCAGAATTTCTACAATGTCAAAAATTATCCAAAAAAGGGAAATGATGAACAATGAATCCAATTCACAAGACCCATTGTCCCTCCAGACTCTTGATTGGTTACAGTACCAACGTGGATTCATTCGTAAGTCCATTGCTTTACACATTATACCAACCTGAAGAAGTTAAACTTGTACTCAAACTCAGCTTGGATGTGCTGGTGAAGCCCCTGTTCAAAAAAATCATCCCGATCCACCACCAGGAACTCGGTGTCTTGCAGACAGACGATGGTGGCCTTTCGGCGAGTGTCTTTCATCAAGGCTATTTCCTAACGTTTTCAAGAAAGAGCATAATTGCAACCAGTGTGAGACCTTGGTTGCTATTATCAAGAAACTGCCATTTGAAAATGTCTACCAACATCTCACTTGACAAAGAGAGAAAGTAGGTAACAACAAAAATAAAACATTGAAAAGAATTTTAATAGTGCCAGTGCAAGTTGGAATACTCCGGTGAATACCAAATCCTCAGTACGAAATATAATTTGACTTTAATGCAGCATAGTTCTCAAGCATTTTACTTTAAGTCCGCTCTTCCTCACCCCAAAGCAAGCCCCTTTCCTGAGGATCGTCACTTCCTTCTTGACAAACGCACTTTCCTCATCCTCATCCAGAGTGACGCAGGCCGCGCCAGCAAAGATGAAGTAGAAGGCATAACCCAAGTGGCCTTTGCGGACAACCACTCTCCTCCGGCCGTATCTGTGGTTTGACAAAGGGAAGGGCGGGAATGCATAAATGCAAATCATCGCCTCTAGGAAAAGAAATCAGTGCTGGTCTCTTGTCCTGGCATTTCTGCATGCGACACAAGAGCAGAGCTATCTAAGATAATAATCTTGTTTCTTTTCAGAGTAGCCGCTTTTCTGATGGGGGTTAAAGAAATCTTTTATTGAGTTGTTGAGCGTCTATTGTGAGGTATAATAATTTTGTCAGTGCCTATGTCATCAAACTGTTAACATAATATTCGCTTGGCCTCATGTCACTTCAAGGGGATGAAATCAAAGCAGGAGGGACTTCCCCAAAGTACAGAGTTACAGGTTTCTGTTATCACGCACTTCAGTTCTCCCCACTCACTTTTGGAGGCGTACCACTCTGGCTATAAGCTGTTGGTGTGCTCGCGAGTACTTCCTAAAACTATGTAATCCCCTCATCAACCCGCCAATCAACTGGACATCACTTTCGGTCCGTTCCTCTGGCCGCTTGGCCACTGCCTCTTTGGCCTTTTTCGGCCAGGTGAACTAGGAGTATGAAAAAAAAATGAAAACAGAAGAACATACAAAAATTCGTTGCCTAAATTAAAATAAGAAATACCGTGCTAAGTTTTGCAAGAGGCAATGCAAAACCCTTTTTTGAGAGAGAATGGGAGTTTATTTTTGAAAGGCAAATTGCTCCGAAACAGAAATGGGCCTTGGCGTGCGGCTGCTCATTTTGGAAATAATGGAAAATATTCAACAGACTTGCGGGACAAGAAGCTTTCTTATGTAAGAAGCGATTTGTTAGCGATTTGATCAGAGGTAGCCGGTTTGGGTCATGTGACTTTGTCCTAAAAGGTTAGTAGAAAACCATGGCTTTTTCTAGCGAACATCCATAAGCATCAAAATAGACTACCTCATAGAAAGGGAGTCCGAGGCATTTTGTTTTGAGCAAGTACATTTTATTCAATTGTTCAAATATCAATTTGCGCAACTTTTTCGTCTGTTAATTAAACGCAGTAAGTGGGCGTAAAATCACTTTCTCTGGGGTGGCATGGTCGAACTAACTGAATTCTCCTTGACCCACAATCTTCACGGCGCCGCATTCATTAAGTTACAATCATAACAATCGCCCACACGCGGGCATTTTTTTCTCACCTCATAATTGCTCTTGAATGCACCGGCATTAAAGGTGAGTTTCTCCTTAGTAGAAGGCACGTAGACCACGCTTGGGGCAGCCGACAAGCTAGCGACTAGGTCGGGGAGGGTAGCCCCGAAGGTACCCTTCCCAGCCTCCGTGGCATACCGGTTCAAGCTTATCTGGACCGCGCATAACATCTTGACCTGCCTGGCGGCACGGAGGAACCGCGCTCGAGGCTTGAAAACACAGGGGGAAAAATGAGGAAATCTACTGGTACTACACATATTTCTGGAACGAATGATGGATAGGAAAAAAAGGGGGGCAAAATAATGTTAAGCGTGAAGTATGAAAGAATGGTTAGGACTGGATTCAAAGGAGTCAAGGGCAAAATGTCATGTTTGTTGTGCAAAGGATTGTGGGAAGATGGGGAATCAATCGTAACTATAAATGATGCATTGACGTCGAAGCACAATATTGCAAATTTTATCAAACTCCACGTGTGCACTGAGCAATGAAAAACTAACACAGGACAGAATTTAAATAACTTACCGACAAATGTGATAATTTTGAGGAGGACGTTTGGCGAGATTCCTGGAAACGAAAATAAAAAAATAATGCAAATTAATGTTAGCTATTTAACATCGATTCGATATAAAGTGCCATTATAAGTTTGGCATATTTTTTGAAGTTTGTCCTTTTCAATTTTTAAGTGTGCGGTCTTTTCTTTGACATTCCTTGCTCCAAGTGCTTTCCAGCCAAACCAGCGAAATTTAGCAGACATCGTCGACTGCATCCTTTGCTTTCACTGGCTTTGACAAAATGCGATTTTTTTCTATTCACTGACGGTTTTCTCTACCATTTGAATTTTAGCATCAGTCATTCTGTTTTGCTTTCTCCTTCCAGCCTTGTAGGTGCGACTGCAATGTAGCCGTGTCATTCCTCCATGGTCACACCACAGAGATTATACATCTAAGCTATGAGGAAAATACTGACAAGCGAATCAGGCATTTATCGATTCGAGGGAAACCGATTAAGGCACTTAACAAAGGATTCACAGGAAAATACCTCCAAGCATCTTTCAGTCTCAGCTCTTAAGGCTGTTTGAAGTGGACTGTAGTGCAGAATTGGGCTATTGTTGGCATTTGGTATGCCTGATAAAAAGGGTAAACAAATTAGAAGAAGATGCTCTCCGGCAGTGGATGGGCGGGGCATGGAAGGAGTAACGGGGGTGCGGGGTACGCGTTAATGGGATCATGCCTGTGGTTCTTATTTCAGGCAAAATAACTCATGGCTTCTTTCGTAAATCAAAACGTAGGCTACGGAAGTTTGTTTTGATGTAAATAACATCCGAAGCTGGAGTTGGTTATATTGTCTTTACAATGTTTTCTTTTAACAAACCAGGCGTTTGTCTATTGCTGTAATTATACGGCATCAATTTTAAGAGCGCTCTTGTCCATCACAGATGTAAGGATTTTCCCAGGTTTCTTAGCCATGAAAGCTCAACATTTCTGGCTGTTCCAATAGTCTTCTGACAGACTTTCCATCTGTCTATGGGACTATTGAGCCGGCAATTTTCGTTGGTCCGGACTTAATTTCTTTGGTGTGATCGTGCAGCTTATCGACCCAAAGTGAATAGGATTAGATCTAGCCGGCGTCTGTATTGTTGTCCATGGGTTCATTATAGCCACCGCTATATCCCGTGGTTTCTATCTCATTTGCTGAATACAACTGTCCATAACGTTGCCACCAATTGTTGAGGACTAAGTTTTTGGAATTATACCCAAACCAAATGCAGTCAATACATAGGCAACTTCGACGTAGCCATAGAAACAAACTCAACCTTAAGAGATGCAGTTTTTCCCCTCCCGAATTGCTTCATTTTTCTTTCCGGTTCAAATTATTACCAGTAATGAATCTTTACAACGACCTCTCTCGTTACTTTTTAACAAAGCAGCAATTATGGAACGCCTGTACAGGAAAAACTCCAGGTTGTTTTACAGAGCTCCGATTTTTTTTCCAACTGTCATCAGGAACTGGGGGAGAGGTGCAATCAGTTATTCTACGGTTGAATTGAGTACCCTGCCAATTAATGTGCAGCGTTGAATCTTTCAATACAAATGTGTTTTACTGGCCGGTGTTTCTCAGTCACAGCAGCTGACGAAAACACCATGACGACGATTTAAAGAGGCGAACCGCATCCTACTGATGGAAATTGTTTTCCTTGCCTAAACTTGCTCTAATTTGCAACTGTTCCTCTTGTTTTACAATAACTACTTGCCAATCAATTAAAAAATCAGGTACACCACTAGCATTTAATTTTGAACATCCCATAGCAACTACCACATTTTGAAATGAAATAACCGAATAAAGGAAGTTGATATCCGCCCATGGTGTCAAGGACGACCGATATACAATCACAATCTTACGGCGCTTTAAAATGCCCCCTTTGCCCCTTATTCTCGAACGAGAACATATATTGAATGGTGTCTTATCCGTGAAATATTTCCAACACTTTATCTATGGGATTATTTCAGTTTGAAGCATAGAACCGGTAGCTTGTCCCTGGTCGTGTTGCGATACTGATCAAAACAGCTTACTGTTACAGTGACCTCGTGAAGTTTGCTTACAAAACAAGCACAGATAAATTTATGGTATTAAAATGTGTTATATTAAAAGATTACTGGTAATCCAGAGGTTCGACTCTTGGATCATTCTAGATATCAGTCTGGTTCAGAAAGATTCAAGCAATCTGAGAAATGACTCAATAATTATGAAGAAATAAAAAAGTGTAAGCGAAAAGTTTAAATCTGTCACTTTCCAAGACATTTGTTCTTGCTTCAAATTAGAGCCACGTGATGAGGTTCTTTTATGACTCAATTGACAAAATAAATTGCAATTTTAACCAAAAACAATCAAAAAACACGCCCCCCAAATTCGAACCCGGCAAAACAAACGCATTAAAGGCAACACAAGAAACTTTCATATCTCAATATTTGGCTGGAGCTGAAATACAAGGTAAATTCCAGGTAAAAATTGCAACCTCCACCCCCTGTTTTACTTCTATCTTTATGAAAGTTTTATTCACATCGATCTCACCATCCTCACTTCATTTTCCTTGTGATTACTTTCTGAATCATTTCCAAAGTCAGCGCCGAAACTTTCTTCTCTACATTCCTCCTCCTCATCTTCATCTCCACTACTTCCTTTCAGCTCCTCCGGATAATATAAGGCCGTCCTTCCCGACATCCATAGTTGACTAGTGCTGCTCAGCGGAGAACTAGCGTGGCTTGAGCGAGGCGAGTCAGAGGGATACGAATGGCGAACCAGCCTCTTAGGCACGGCAGATCTTGGATCTTCTCGAGGAGGAGGTGACGGCGACGGGGAGCGTGACACAGGAGTAATCATTGCTTCCTCCTCAGAACTTAATTATTGTGTTTCTCGCTGACCGAAACTTTACAGCCTTCAGCTTTTCACACTCCACAGGGATAGCATCGTTGTATAAAGATTTAGCTATAGTCAGCTATACTAAAATTACTATCTTCCTGAATGAGGCACAAGAGTGGCTCTCAGGTCATTAGTTTGCCGCATCCCTGGAGAACTATGGATAACAACCAGAACAATTTCACAAAACACTCCAGGCTTCAGGTGTTCATCATTCACAACGTTCAGGGTGGACTTTGGCCGTTTATCTGATAATTACCAAACGTCGAGCGCCTAACACCGCAACACGCGGTAACTGCATGGTCTCAACAGCATTATTGGTACATGGATAAATACTTTGCGGGGGTTAGATATAGTCGTCGTGTTGCACTCGCTTGTTCGGCGCTAAGTCCTGGAGGTGTGATGCAGTTTCACAAATCTTGCTTGAAGGTGGGTTAACTTCTCCATATCTCGTTCAGGTGATGTCAGTCACATATAATAGTCACATATAATAGGCCGTCAAATTTTATCAAATCCAGGAAAATCCATGGGAAATCTCCCCATAGATAACCCACTGGACGATGGGGCTTGTCAGTTGATCCAACGTGAAGCTTTTCAGCTCTGACGGGACTGTAACCGGTTTTCTCTTGAAGACTATTTGGGTGGATGGTAACAAAGAGACGACCTCAAAAACGAAAAGAGGGAAAGGGGGAGCCTGACGTGGCTCTCTTTGGTCACTGTTAGGAGGGCGCAAAGGCGTGTTGGTCGACCCTCGTCGCCGCGGGAATGGACGGTATTAAACGCGGCCAGATCTTAGACGGCAACAGTCGATAAGCAAATCAATAAAAGATCAAAACCCCTGGCAAACTCGTCGAAGGAAGCGACAAAACAAAAAATGCCGAGTCCAAAACCCCCCAGAAACAAACCAGGGGAACGCCACGTCATCAAGTTCGCGAGGAACTTGGCCAAATCAGTTTAAGATGAGGCGGAAATCTCAGCCAGGTACCCTCAAAAAGACCGATGAAAATTTAACGAGAAGTTCATCAATTTTTTAGTCAGAGGAGGATTACAATTGAACAAAGGTGTTAGTCGGTCCTGAAAGCTTGTTATGAAATTATTATGAGGGTACCTGCTATATCTTATAAAGCCAAACCAACCCTCCGTAACTGCTGCCAGCAGCCATACAACCAGTAATAAATATGTTGGATTTGAAGTATATATCAGATATTAAAACCTGCACGCGTGTATGAGGCATCCAACACTCTTCAAACAAAACTGCACAGGAACACTCATATACATTGGAGTAATTTTCAATCTCTAGCACAAAGGACAAAGTGCGAAATGTATATTTCGGTTAGAATCCTCAGTTGGACTTTCGGAGCGCTTAAATCTCTGTATACAATTCCATGAATGTTTATTCTCTGGGTGCTGTTTAGAGCCCAATGCGGGTTATTACTCGATTTCAAACACTGCCTATTAACAGCCTACGGGTGTTTGTTTGAGAGGGAGCACTAAGAGGTCACGCAGGAGATGTTGATTTATCTGGTAGGAAAGTCAATATTCAGCGAGTTCCCTGAAAAGATGTTGAGACACGCTCCTTCCGGGTTTTGTAACAAGTCACTCTACGGATCGATACCTTGTCTCACAGCACTGAGGCCAATAGCCATTCTAGCACTTCTCGTAGTTGAGTATTGAGTTCGAATGTTCCACAGCTTAAACTTGGACGCCCTCTATGGGTCAGACGTGGACTTTGATAGGAATCCTTGAGAGGTTTCTTGTCGGATGGATTGTATCATTGTGATTAGGCCTGAAAGCTTCCAAAATAATACGATTTAAGTTGAGGAATATAAAAATAAATGTATCATATACGTGATTCTTAACTTTTATTTGGTCCACGCGCTTTGGTGGTCTGAAAACAATTATTCCATATCAGTAAATATTCTTAAAAAAAATAAAGTTCAATTTAATGCTCTGCCAATAATTGCATAATGTCAAAATCTGTCTTTACACCGAGTAGCTGAGAATTCTAGGCTACACAGATTAACTTCTCATCAGTGCGACAGGCTGGTTAAGTGAGAAAATGCGACACCCATAGCGAAGTAGATTTAACCAAGGATGATGGTGCGCGCAGAAAGAGCAACCTTTAAGAATGGATACATGACAACACTGCACGCGATCTGAAAAAGAATGCTATTTTTCTGCCGGAAGTTTCGCTGTGGACATTTATTGGATGTTTTAAATCTCTCTCATTTTCACACGTCTTCTACCAGGGGGTGGATCCATTAAAAAAAAGACAAAAAATGAGCAGGGGAGGGGATTTTGACAACCCCCACCCATCAGCGCCTCGCAACAGTACGATAATACGCACTTTGCATGGATCTGGTTCCTAGTCCTTCCCGTCATGCATCAGCACCTCAGGTTCTCTTACTTACTGCTGCTAATGTTGCAGTGTGCACTCTGAGCTCCCAGCTGACATTAATTAAGCAACAATTCAAGCACACACCCCCACGTCTACAGGAATAAAGTAGGCATTTAAAGGAATAACGTCACCTGTTTGTCTAGATTGCTGCCATGCTTAAGTTGGTTCCGCATATGTCTCCTCCAAGACTCCCATCTCTCTGCCGCTAACCTCTTAAGTTCCTCCCTAGGGAGACGGTTCCCGTACTGGGATGACAGGTGTACCCACTGTACCCTAGCCCATCCCGTCTTGGGTCGGGATCTGTCCTTCCAAGACTGGGCAGAATGGCGAACGACAGTTGATTCGATGGATTGCGTGGATTTAGGTGATTGACCAATGATGGATTGAATCTTCCTGTGTGACGGTGAACTTCGAGTTCGATTGCGTTCAGCTGATGACTCTGCCGGATTACCACGGTTGGTCATCACGGACCTAGGCCTACTTCGGTTATTCGGTGGTGGTGCTCTCATCTCCATTAATGAAGTTTTTGATTAGCCTATCCCGTTTTTATTTTTACAAAATTCTTCAGCATGCCATCACATCCTGGGTGAAAAGTTTAAAGAAATGTGTTTATTCTGAGGTTACTGTTTGCAGAATATATTTCCATATTAGTTATATATACTCCATTTGTCGCGTATTCTTATCAACATAACAGAAAAACACCCCTTTTGTAACCAAGGCCTAGGTATACCTGTAATCAGATGTACAACGCAACGACTGTGTTACCATGGCAGTAACGTATTCATTGACGTGAACGAGTGGCATACAAGTGCTGTAAATGGCAACACATCGTGTGCTCTTTACTTTGTACGTGTCATAAATAATTAAGCTCATCTAATATACACCGAGTAGTGTCTGAATTTAATATTAACTTGCTAATGAAACCAACCTTGTGTGTCTTTGGTCTCCAGCTTGCAGAATGCACAGCGTGGTACGCGTATGGGTGTAGAGTAATGGAAGTGCGTTACGATACGCGCTCGAACTTGACACGCTCATTTTATGTATTAGAAAGCAGTACCATTTCACTCATAGGCATTTCATGTGTTGGCCTAATAGGACGGGGAAAAATTCGAATGATGGTCATGAAATAGCAACCCCCCTCCCCCAAGTCTGGACTCAAAAGTAGCCACAAAATAAACAACGAACGAGGGCTTCCAAGAAAGCGGATCGGTCATCGCTATGAAGTAGCTCCATGATTAATTTAACCACCATTAGCATTCATTGACGGCCTGGCGAATAAAAAGTAATATTGACGGGTATTGAATGTGTGAAACTGGCAATCGCTGGCCGTATCACAAAAGCCTCATCACCAAAGTTAGCGGCGCTATACTATCTTTGCTCATCACGGTGCTAGGGGACAAAACCACAAAACCAAAGATAGTATAGTGCAATTGAGGGCGCTACATTGTTTCTGGATAATACATGGTACATCCGCATGATATGAACTTGACGAAGGGGGAACTATGCAAATTTAATCGCTACCTTGAAGTAAATCACTGCTTTGTTTTGTTTTACTCGGAAAAAATTACCCAACCGCTGAGAAAAAGGACAAAACTCGTTACACCAAATAAAAACGCCGTAACCTAAAAAGACCTATATAACTAAACGTTGTATTGGGGGAAAAAACAAAATAAAAAAACTGTGTACTTTTGTTTAGTTTACCAAAGTCTATGATGCTGTTCGAGTCTAGCAGAACCATTATAACTTGACAATTAACAAAACGGCAATCCACTTCCATGAAAGGAACAAAATAACTAAAAATAGTGCGTTGATGAACCACTATTTGAGAGTCTGCCTCGATGGACGTGACCAGACAGCTAAAACTGTGACTCGGTTGACTGGGCAACAAAAAGTCAAGTTTGTCGATTGCGATTGGTGAAATAATAAAAACGCCAGGTCCATTTTTGTCAGAAGGCATCTACACTGTCTAGTGAACCTATGTGGCTATCAAAAATGTACTGTCACCCCTTTGTTGCTTAATTGTTTCAGAATAGAACCTTCAGAGAGGCCTTGGGCATTTTTAATTTTTTTTTTCGAGGAATTGGTACTGGGGTAGAGGGCTTTTGATTTTCCATAGCATCTTTATCTAGACAAACCCCCTCTCGTTTCTCTAATGGAACAGTCCAAGAGCAGTGACCCCATGTCGAGAGTATTTAAACGGACGAAACATAACAGTGTGAGATCAGTTTTCTCCAGCAAACTCAGAGCTGCACCTGTGACTTGTAGTTGCTCGCTAGTATCAGTGGCGAATAGATGACAGACACCATCTTTGCAGGTAAGAGGAGCTCACGGAGTTTTTGTTTTTCATCGTGGTTAAATGGTCACAAATTAATTGAAAACAAATTTGTGTTTTATCATTATGCCTTGGCATCTGGTGATGCCGCGATTCACTGTGTGCCAAACGCACTTAACTATGTCGACGGAGGCAAAGCCGGCTCCATTCGCGTCCATTCCACATTGTTTGTCAGGTCCTGATATGCATGCATGCGTAAATTTTTATGAGAACAGAGCCCAGCCACAG